GCTGGGTATCAATCAAAGGTTGCTTGGGTTGAGGAAGGCATCTCTAGCATGGGGTTCCATTGGTTTCAGATCCCAAGTAGGGAGAGGAGCACGTCCGTGTAGGAAGATGGACAGCCCTTTGTGCAGTGCCAGAGCCAGAGGGGAATAAGAAGGTGGATGGTACAGGGTGGGGGGCGGGGGTAGCTATGGAAGATTGGGTACATGTTGGGGGACTGACCAAATAACAAATGTATTGAGGATAATGGGAGCAAGATTTCTCACCATTGGAAAAGAAAATTATAAATATTAAAAGAGAAATAGAATGAATCTTGTAATTTGGGGTTGGAATGGGAAATATCAGTATGAACTCATGGATCTCAATATAGGTAGATAAGGGGATAAATATAGGTGTAAGTAAATGTGTGTGTATTTTCCCTAGCTCTGGCCCGAAGAGGTCCTCAGAGTAACGGCACCCTAGCTAGCAATGAGTACTCCAAGCTTGGCTTCCAAATATTATTCTCCACTGAGAGGGACAAGGGATTCCTGAAGAAATGGGTGATTCCAAAGGTTGGGGTAGAGAAAATACAAGATGAGCCTGGAACTCTGGAATACCTTGTATCAGAGTAAAAACGTGCTTAAAGATACATGGGACATGTCAAAGGACACAGAAACCAGATTGAAGGGACTCCCACTGGCCAGATGGGGCAATTTGAGAATCAGAATAAATAATCATACATAATAGATTAAAACTTACAGAACAATATAGGATTCCATGAGTTCATATTGATACAAATGATTTATTGAAAGTTTGATGAGCAATAGTATATTTCCATATACTCAAAATACCTCCCAACAAAATTAATTACAAAAGGGAAAATGTACTTTTGCAGTGAAAAAGCCTTGTAGACATCATTTTAATCAAGTGTTCAAAGTGAACACTATCAAGGTGCAATGAGAGTAAGAAAACTCAGTTCTGGGATGTTGTTGCTCAAGTGGGATAAATGGAATCTAACAAGGAAACACAAATCGAGGGACATTTTACAGAATAACTGTGCGTAATCTTCATAAGAGGCAGCTTTATGAAAGTCAAGAAAAGACTAAAGAATTGCTCCCGATTGTGGAGACTAAAGGGACATGACATTTAAACACCACGTGCGATTCTGACCTGGATCTTTTTGCTCCAAAGGACATTTATTGAGAGAACAGATGAAATATGAATGGCATCTCTGGATTAGATGGTAGTAATGTTTCAATGTTCATATCCTGTTTTTGATAGTTCTATTGGATTATGAGGAGAATGTCCTTGTTTGTAGAAAATACACTAAACATTCGAGGGTGATAAGGTATTATGTAGACAACTTATTTTAAGTGTTTCAGGAAAAGTCATTTCTACTACTGTCCTTGCAAGTCTGAGAATGTTTCCAAGTAAAAAAGTAAAAACCAGAGACAAACTGAGCGAAGATCAGAAAGAGAAAACTTGGAAGGAACTCAGGGAGGAGTAAGACAGAGAATGGAGTAAAAAAACTATTATCTGAAGGAAGAGGAGGAAAGGTGAAAGAGAACCAGTCTATTCAGAAGAGGGGGCAGAGAGGAAATGAGATGCTGACATAGTTGACAAACTAAAGGTGAGCTTGGCAACAGATTTGGAGAACATGGCAAGTTAACAGAGAAAAGACTCGATGAGTGGGAAGATGAAGAAAAGGAGAGGGTAGCGAAGAGAACGAATGTTCCTCGATGGCCATCTTTGTATTGTCCTAGGCTGGTCATTAAAATCCCATTTAACTTTTACATAAATGAGTAAGATGGGAGTTTTATCCACATTTTAAAAAATGAATAAACTAAGACTCAAAGAAGTGAAGTAACTAGTTCAAAGTAATATAGCTAGTAAGCAGAATCAGGGTTTAAATCCCAGTGTCTGTGATTCCAATAAGCAATGGGATAGTAAAGAAATGGTCTCTTCAGGTCAGGGGAGGGAGAGAATTCAATTTTCACCCCCTAGAGATAGGAGGGGGCTTAGAGACTGAATGAGAAAATAATGGTGGGGGTTTGGAGGCTGAAACTGAAGTGAAGATTTGAATAATCTAAAGAAATCTAGTGTTGAAGTCATAAGGAAATGGCAGAAAAAGCAAAGAAAGAGAAACATTGAGAGAGAGACCATCATTTTTAGATGAAAGGAAGTCAAACAGGAATTGGCAGAGGGCTTGGGGGATATAGTAGGCCAACTTCTAAAATGACATCCAATGATCCCCACCTTCTAGTATCCATACTAGATCTTCTCCCCTTGAGTCTGGATCCAGTGACTTATTTCTAACCAAAAGAATACAGCAAAATTGACAGGATGTCACTTCTGTGATTAGGTTACCAAAAATTGGAATGTCCATCTTACTAGCAGACTTTGCCTTGTCAGTTTCAATAAAACAAGCTGCCACGTTGGAGAGACCTAGGACAGCCTCCATCTAAAAGCCAGCAGGGAATGGGGTTCTCAGCCCAATGACCTTTGAAAAACTGAATGTTGCCAAAAAATATGTGAATAAATTTGGAAGTAGGTACCCCTCCCAGTTGGACCTTGATGGGGTCTTGCAGGAGACCCTGGATCACACTGTGATTGCAGCCCATGAGAGACCTTGAAGTAGAGGACCCAGCCAAGACGTACCTGGATTTCTAATCAACAAAAACTGGAGAATAGCTGTGTGCTGTTTTAAACCACTAAGTTTTGGGACAGTCCATCTTTGTTATTCAAGGACTGAGTACTTGCAATTTAGCCTGCTAACATGTATTTGTGATACCCACTCAGTACTCACTGCACTTTTGCCATCACTATGGACATGCACAGAGCAGTGAAGATTTTGAGTTGCCTGATGCACATGTTTCCAGATGATGCAGAACAAGTCAAGGTTCTGCCTTCTTGTTTCAACTCTCAAATGGTAAACGTATGTCCATTTAATGCCATGTTTGTTGTTGCTATTGTTGTGGTGGTGTTTTTCAAAATTTCTGTTGGTGATCTGACTGTTTAAAATGATCTCCAAGCATAGAGCTGAAGTGTTTCTAGTGTTCCTAAGCACAAGAAGGCTGTGATGTGCTTTATGGAGAAAATGCATACATTAGATAAACCTCTTTAAGGCATGAGTTATATTCAGGCTGCTGGCTCTGAATTCAACCTTAAGGAATCAACTATATATATTTGATAAGGTGTATTTGAATAGAAGTGCACATAAAGCAAGGTTATGTATTTTTATCAGTTCATGAAAATGATGTGACCAGAGGCTGGCAGTAACCTAACCCTGTATTTCCTTTAGGAGCAATGGTTCAGTATTTGCTCATTCAGTGTTCTCAGTGACTTTATAGGACACAACTACCTCGAATGTTGAGAATTGGGTGTAAGTTGTTATGTAGCAATATAATAGACAGTAAATACAGGGAAACAGGGTAACTTAGTTCACAAATTTAAGGAAGAAAAGTGTTTGCAATGTGATCAAGTATCAATGATGCAAGTCTCTCACTAGGGGCAAGATTAGAGAGGTAGTAGATGACATTAATTAGTGTCTGTTATCTAAGTATCGTCAGGTTATATATTAAAAATCAATAATTTTTGCCTGGCTAAAGAGAGTTATTTTGAGTGTGAGTGAAACTCTCTAGGAAAATTAGCCTCACAAAGCAGTCTCTTTGCTCTATAATATAGGCCACAGCTGTGTGAGGACTGATGTGTCAAAAGGCACCAGCTTAATTAAAAGCTCCATGACTACACAGGGTGATGTAACCCAAGGCGGGCTTCTGGCAGCTGCAGCACACGACGCTGCCAACCCAGGGGAAGCTATCATAGGGAATAGCCCCCTGGGGACCCAAAGTGCCCTAACACAGCTTTTCCACAATCTATGGCTGAAACTTCTGGCATCTATGGCTGAGAGTTTAAGCTATTGTCATTTTATTTACTTTTAACTTCAGCCCGTAAAAAGTTTTTTGATTTTGTTTTTTAATTAGTCCCCCAACTTCATCTTGAATTCTTGCTCCTGCCTTTACCCCTTACACTCACGCTAATAAGTGTGCTAAGTTCTTAAACATGAATGGGTTTTGTATAATATGGGGTGTGTGTGTGTGTGTGTGTGTGTGTGTGTGTGTGTGTGTATGCAGAATTAGCAGTTACAAAAATGGCACTATGCTATAGTGAGTTCTTTACTTTTCCGCGCTACCCTGTGATTTAAATGTTGCTCTATGAATGAGCAGTCTGTTGCTTCTAAGAGCTGCATAATGTACCATAATGTGTACCCACCACATCTGACCCACATTTTCTCCTAGCGCTGGGGACTCAGCTTGCCCCAGTTCCCACCGCGACAGTTACCAAAAGGGAGCAGAATGAATGTCACAGTCTACCTTGTAGTATCATGCCCTTCCTTTGCCTGACATTATTTCTCTTGTCTGTCTTCCCTTCACTGGGACAATATCCACCAGAACTTATTCCTAGATCATGAGAACATGCAATGTTTCACTTTCTATAGAGCCATTTCTCATCTGTTTACTCCAATGTTCTGAGAAGCAGATTGGTTTATTAGTTAAAAGAAAAAAAAGAAAAGAAAAGCCCACAGTGGTAATTCCCAAATGATTTTGCCTGAAGGCTATAAAAGGTAAAAATAAAACAAAACAAAAACAAAAACAAAGAAAACAAAAAAAAACCTAACTAAAAATAAAATGCTACTTAATCCATTTTATTTTAAAATAAATATATGCCATAAAAAAGGCAAGGGATGGAGAAAGGAGCTGATAAAATCAAGTAACCATGAAACTGGAAGACACTTCCAATGTGAGAAATTGCTCATCCAGAGGATAAACACACATTTTGAAGGCCATGTCATTGAGGCATGGAAGGCAAAAATGAAAAGAATAACATTTGGGTAACAAGAAAAGCAAAATTTATACTGTCCTCAAGTACCAAGTGCCAAGCTGCATTGTTGTCCAGATAAGGCTGCTGCAAAGTGAAGCTAAAGATTCTCACCGACTCAAAGAAAAGAAAGCCATAATTTGTGGAATCGATTTTTATTTCTCAATTATACAGAGATTATATATATATATAGTGTTGTTACATATTTTTATATTAATCCACACTATTTAAGAAGAATTTACTATTTATTTACCCCAAGTCTAATAGATGCTTTACTCTGATAATTCAATACATGGTAGAAAATCTTTAAATATATAAAAGATTAATTTGTGCACACATAAATGTGTCTAAGGGAGCAAACTACTGAGGCATTGTGATTTAGATAAGCATTGCAAACATAGTACCATAAATCAATACTTAATATGAGATCTTAACAACACAAAGGCTTAGAATAGTGACTTCCTCACGCCATCTTGGAGTATGTCTTAGAAGATAACCCCATAAAACATTATATGGCTTCAATAGGAACTTCAGGGTTTTCTTCCACACCCAGCTATTGCCCTCACTCCTTGGCAGTATATTCTGGGCAGAATTTTTGTTCTTTATCTTAATCAAGGAGCTAAGCAAAGAGCTGTTGCCACTTTAGGAAAATAATACTTTTGCCACAATGACCCTTTGGTTCCCTTTACTACAAATCTACAGAAAAAGTGCAAAACAGTTTTCAGAAGTCAGAACCAAAGCAAGAATACTCATAATGCAAGATCTAGATAGCTAATGATGTGAATGTGTACATCTGCCTACCAATCTGCTTAGGGATTATTTTTTCAGGATTCTTCTAGGATTCTATTTATTTGGATTGAATTTGCCTGGTGGCTTTTCTCTAGCACATGCAATTAAATTAAGCTGTCTTTTTAAGATAATAAAATAGCAAATGCCTAACTATCAGAATGGTTATACAGCCCATAGGACAGCCCAAATAAAATCATTTTTTGGGAAAGATGCTTGTAATATCTGTGTAGGAAGGTGAAACTTCAAACAGAATCCCACTTGAGTAGTCTTCCATGCGAAGGCTGGACAAGTTCAAAGAAAATGTGAGTGGTGAGATTGTTGCATGTCTGACAGAACTTAACGAAAGCCCTCTATCAACAGCTCTGTCCTCAGGCTTCACCATTAAGCTGAACGCTGGATTCTTCATTACCTCCTGTGGCTATGGGGACCATGCAATCCATCTTCCAAAACCAGACACAACTGAGCAACAGGAAGCATCATGAATAATTATGCTAGGGCAACAATAGTCAATGGATGAATGAACTGGAATATTGGGTCACTGAACTTATATCAACACTAAGTTCTGGGAGAGGCACACTTTGGGCTTCCAAAGGTGGTGCTGGGCTGTGAGAGAAGGTATGCTCTAGGGTTTTTCTATTAGACAAACCAGATGTTATGAGGGAGAACATCCAAAAGGACACAGTTCAATAAGATATGCAGCTGAAAGGACCAAGAGGGAACATAGTAACTATGGCTTATGGAGGAGAGAGAGCCAGGTTGTGTGTATGGAAGGTGGATGGGAGACTAACAACATGAAGCAAACAAACGAGGTCAGTGAAATGCAGTCACCTGTGCAAAGATGTCTACTTCAAAGTATTTCAAAGCTTATGACACCTAGGACTCAGAATATTACGGAAAGCTCTCCTGGATGTCGTTACTACCCACTCTCCACTTCATTTTTATTTTCGCCACCTAGTTAGTAATAGGTGATACTGGAGACTAAGAATAGTTCCTGGAGTGAGGTCAGGACTTCGGCACACCCGTAAAGAGCCAAAAACCTTTCTAGCAGGCTTCACTGTGGGTCATGGAAACACAACCTTTTCTGGCAGGCCATGCATTTTTCTGCCAACCTTTACTTTTTAAGACTAAATTAGTTTGCAGCCTTACATGTGTGTTCTGTTAGAGAAACAAACATCTACACAAAAATGGGAAAGGGAGGCAAAGGATGTAGGTGCTGGAGCAGGGCTAAGCACACTTTTCTATAAAGATAATAATGTTTTCATCTTTGTAGGCCACACGGTCTGTTGCAGCTACTCAACTTGTAGTATGAAAGTGGCCACAGAGAGTTCATGAATAAATTTGTGTGGCTCTGTTTTAGTAAAACTTCGTTGATGAACACTGACATTTTAAATGATTTTCATGTGTCATGAAATACTAAAAAAAATTTTCTACCCAAAGGGTAAAAGCCATTGTTTCTAGAAGGCCAGAAGAAAAGGTTGGGGGCGCTACATTTGGCTGTAGGTTGCCACACCCCTGGCTAGAAGCCCATAGATTTGAAATCATGTTGGCATTTTAAAGGGCATAGGAAAATCACAAAGGGATATTTTGCAAATTATAGCACACACTCATAATTAATTTTAAACCTGTGATCCGATTAAAGTGTTTTAAAGTAGATTATTCCTTATAAGGCATGTGAGAGAGAAATTCAGCTAACTGAATGTTACAAAATAATTAATTTCTAAGTGGGCCATCTTACCCCTCGAGTTCTTGGTACTTAAAGTAAAACATCTTAAAGTAAGTGTATGACCTGAAGCACAGACCGCTACCAAAAATGTGGACAATGAACCTAAAGTTTCTCAAAATAGAGTTCTTCACCAGGAGTTGGAGAAATGATTTTTTTAAAAAAATGACTGTATTTTGCTGTGTATAATGCGCACCTTTTTTGCCCACATTTTTCAGGGAAAAATAAGGATGTGTATTATACATGGGTAGTACCCGAAGTAGCTTGTATCTGTCTTTGTGTTTTGTAATTATTTGTTACATAAAATTTCCTGTACCATAATATGTGCAAAATAAAGGCTAAAATTCCTTTATAATACAAAATACAAGTATATAAATATAAAAAATAAAAAATTGAATTAAAAAATTAAAATGAAAGGTTTTTTTCCTGAAAGTCTGGGCCAAAAACATGGTATGCATTATACATGGCAAAATACGGTAATTCAGACAACATGATGCCCACTTTGATCACTAAAATAAAACTGCTGTGAACTAGAAAGCCTGGCTTTCCTTTGAGAAGTTAGAGACAATTCATTCATGTGGACAAGAATCAAGTGAGCACTTAACTGATGATGGGCTCACTTGTGTCTGGTTTATGGCTGCATTAAGCAAGTTTTGGATTTTAAAAGTGGAGTTACACGGGGACAAGCTTTCCAGCGAGACCTGAGCCCTGCGTATGTTAAACTTGCAGCAGTCACCCAGGAGGAGCCCCGCTAATCTACGGAAGCAAATCCACTCTTAATTAATAGTGAATTGAAGTTATCTTATCAACCAGTATCAGTCTAAGAGATGAAATACCACTGCGCCAAGGGTTAACAAAATATGGAAATGGAAGGTCCTACTTTCTTGCTAAGGTTCAACTAAAATCTTTGAGGCACATAATTGGCAAAGTAGGAATATACACACAACTTCATAAAACATGTTTAGAGTAAACAAATTCCCTTACTGCTTTTCCCCTTAGAACTTTAGAATGGCACCAGGTAGTGCAGAGTGGAAAAAAGGACTGTCAGTCTCTTTCAAGGAGGTATGTATCAACAGAACCACGAAGCAGAAAAGCATCCTCTTCTTCCAGCCGCGGCCAACTAGGGCTTTTCTTTCAGTTTCAGGTCAATACTTGGAAAAAAGGAGGAAAAAAAGGAGAAAATGAGTAAGAAACATTCAGTAATGATTGAGGGTGGTGTAGGTTTCTGTTTTTTCTCTCAAAGGACTTACTGAAAATAAATCATGCAAGTTTCTGATACTAGGAGATTTTAGTAAAACAGAGTCCTCCCCTAGTTGGCAAGGCTTATTCTAAACATAAACAGAATCTGTTTATTTTTATAAAACTGCTTCTGGAAGCATTTTACGCCTTTTGGAATAATCTAAGGAGGGGAAAGACTTGTGTTAAGCCTCGTTCCTTAAGTAGATTACTATAAAGAATGTTACTGCATTTTGGAAATAAAGGATCTACCAATTTCTAGTAAATGGCCTTTCCTTGTGGGGCAAATAAATGATCTGCCTGAAGTAATGTCTGACTAGTGCTAAATAGTAAGAAAGTAGAAATAATGAAACAACAATGGCAAAACAAAAACAAAAACAAAAAACCAACATTTTCTATTGCCAAAGGATTTGCCTGAAAGGGTTTAGACTACTTTAATGAAACGAATTCTTATCACCTAAGAAGAGCTTGTTTTTAAGAATGTCTAGTGGGTTCCCAAATATCTAGGGAATAAGTCTACAATGTCCTTGGGCCACTTCTGTGTCTCTCTTGCTTTCAGTGAACATATCATGACTTCTTGTTATCTACCAGAGAAGAGAGCTACATTTAGTGAACACTAAGAGGAGGCCTTTTAGCCACGAAAAAAGAAAAAATGCATTTGTTGAAAAGAGCAGTTGGGAAGTATCTGCAGACTTCCCTTGGATCTGCTTTCTAGAAGCAGAGCAAAAAGTTACTCTCCTTACAGAATATGCAGTTGCTGAGCAATGCTCATTGTAGTAGCTTTGCAAATAAAGCCATTGGTAACCTACACTGCCTGCTCATCTTGTTTACAGTAGTAAAATGTCTTTCCTTGGAAATACCCTCAGCAAACCCACCACTTATTAGATCTGAGGCCTTGGCCAAGTTACCTGCCTTCTCTAAATTTCCATTTCTGTATCTGTAAAACAGAACAATCATGTCTCTCTCATAGCTTGCTAAGGATTAAGTATAAAGTGTTTTCCATTGTATATAGTGTACACAGAGTAAATGTCTAGTAGTAGTAGTAGTAGTAGTAGTAGTAGTAGTAGTAAAGTAGCAGTGGTAGCTTGGTGTCTTTGAAATGGGAAAATCATCTGTTGGCTTAATTACCCTACTTATAATAATCTTGTCTCCTTTGGGAGCTTTCATATTTGGGAGCCAAATATGTTAACTGCCAGGAGAGGTCAGGTCATCACGGATATTAATCTTTTTTAGGCCCTCAAGGATCTGACTTGTTTTATTGTCTACAGTTTTACCATGGAGGTGTCCTCTTCTTATCCATGACCCTTACATCTTTTTCTAAGTCTTTTACAAAACAGGGCCTTCTTGAACTTATTTTTGCTTCTAAATGATACTTCTCAGCTGCAGTTATTCCCAGAAGTCTGCAGTGAGTTTGATTTGATGATTGGACTTCTATACTTTCTTACCTAGTAATGGTTCAGTTTCTCTCACAGACCAAGAGAATATGTATTAATAAAAAATTTGGGGTACACTGTATGAAAAGTGTGAATGTGGGTCAGAATACTTGAAGTCATCCTGGAAAGTTTTATTAAAGTGTACTCTGTTTCACCATATAGACACCTGACAAAAATCTGACAGGAAAAAAAAACCTCAACAACTGCAAAAAAACCACGCCATGATTCCCCCTTTCAAACAACTAATTTTTCATACTGACTTTTTCATAAACCTTCTAGGGTTTAATTTATCACTTCAGCTTTGGTAAACAAAAAACTGAAACATTGGAACACATTTCCCCAAGTTATAAAAGAAGAGAGAGTCAAAAGTGAACGATTTTTTTCCTCCAAGTTCATGTCAGGCGGATAATGTGCCGATGTCGTAACAAGGCTTGTGGGAGGCACTTGTCACACAAGAGCGCGAACACCCAATCATCACATTATGAACTACAAAAAGATCCAAAAGCGAATGGCTTTTAAGTAAACATGGGAAACCGCCCTGAAGGTTAACTTTTGAGACAACAGTTTTCTTGTGGAGCTAATGAAGCTACCAACAATGCTACTAATTTAAGTCTCCCCAAATATAGCCACATCCACTGGATCATATATGCTTTTATTGTATGTAAGAACATAAAAGGCACATGCAAGTTTTAGGACACGTCTCAATTAATTAAATCCAAACCTAACAGTGAGGGAGACAAGCACCTAGGGCTAATTTGAGAAATGCTATGCTTTTTAGGGAAAAAAAAAAAAATGTCCTTTTAATCAGAACTGGAATATGAAAAGAGTATTTCTCACCTTTGGCAAGTGGGCCTGGTAAAACCAACTTTCCAGTGAGACTAGCAACCTTCTGACAATTTTACTCCAGGCCATTTTGGCTTCTAACATAGTAAATGAGGTTCCTCACAACGTGTTTAACAATATTGTTTAATAATGCATAAACTCCATGTTTTAAGCGCGAAGAGGGGAAGAGGGGTATAACCTCCCTTTCTCTCTCTAGGAAAATGAGAGGCCACTACAGAGTCAGGACACATTTCATTTTATTCGTGGCCTGATCAAGCTTCTTGGAAGAGCCCTTACCCATTTTTCCAGTTTAACCATTCAATACAAGAAGGTGTAAAATGCTTCCACACAGGAACCAGAAGCGGGGAAACGAAGCCCTGTATCCTAATTCTGAAGAAAGCCAGAAATCCAGGGCTGGAATTCAGTAGAAAAAGTTCTTAGTCATTCTTGCCCCTGATCCCAGATCTCATTGTCTGCACCGGGATCATGTGCCGGGTAAGGCTTGGGCAAGAAAGGGCTGAGGAAAAGGGAAGCACGGAGGGCATGTTCTGAGAAGTGGGAACATCAACAATTTGCAGCATCCAGTCCACCCTCCTCCCCACCTCATGTCCACCCCCGGAACAAACCCAAACAAGAAGCAGTGCTTTGCTCTCTCCCCAACCCAAAGGCAGAACAAAACAGACAAGGTAGACAAAGGAGTGGGTAAGCCCGCAGATGTGGCAGCCACAGACCAAATGAGTGATCTGTCCACACAGCTCATTAACTGTGGGCGCAGGACTCTGCTCTAGGGGGCGCCATTTTGCTGAGAAAGGAAAGATTTGCAAAAAGAATGATGGTGGACTAAGGGACTGAGGGATTTTTGCTCTGCAGAATTTCTGCGTGGTGATTTTCTTGAAGCAACTGTCTTCATCTGGAAGAGGTGGGACAAGTGTAAACTTCAGAAAAATTGTCTGATTTCAAATGTCCCCTGACAGCCTTTGTGCTTTGTGTACTTTTCAGTGGGGGCCTTTTCTCTGGAGTTTTTGTGCATAAACTTCTTTAAACTGTAAGGTCACCATGGCAACTGCAGAGCTATCGCACTGTGATTTTCCAACTTCCCTTGTGACCTCGTAGGAAAGGAGGGCTAAAGAAAACAAAATGTGACAATAGCTGACACATTTAAATGTGATGTTTGCCCCTCCTTCTGGATTCCTGGAAAGGACAATGTTAAATTCTCCACAACTCAAACCAGGTTAGGAGCCCCCAACCAGATGGCCAGGTTCCCTTGGAGAGCATGCTGGTGACCACAGTCTATTCCCTGCCACTGACCTGGCCACTAATTCTCTCTTTCCTTAAGTGCCTAATTCTGTCCTCTCTAGCCCTTGGTTTGATCAGAGGTGGCACAGCCATTCCAGCATTCAGACCACCTCTCTCTGATTTCAGAACCGCTCCCGCCGGAGCTGCACTCCATATTCACATCCCAGCTCAGGGCCCTTTTTACAACTGTAAAACCCTGGGCTGGTCAGATAATCTCTCTATGCTGCTCTTTCCTTACATATGAAATGTACCCCAAAAGCTCATCCTGAGGATAAACATCAGTAAGTGTGTGAGACACTTTTTATGGAGCCTGACGTGTAGTAAGAACTCAATCTGTGTGTGATTCTCTCTCTCCCAGGATGGGACTAGATGAACTAGATCTTTTCTCCAGCCCCATCCAGACTCAACTGCTCCTTGGAATTTTCAAAACAAAAAAATTCTGTCTCCTATCCATCCATTAAGTTCAAATGGAAGTCCCAACTTCCACTAATTAAAATAGACGATGTTAATTCACAAAGCAGACTTGTGTTCCTCTTGCCCAAATGCTCTGGTATCTGGCTTTAAAGTAATTTTCACCTAATATTTGGATTGGGAAAATAGAATGCCATGTATAAACATAGCTGTCTGTGAGGAATTTAATTGTGATCAATGAGACAGTGTTAAGTTGGCACAGTTCATTTTAAGCTTCTAATTTGAGAAATAGAGAGCATAAAAGCTGAACATCTGAACGAGGTTTACCCAATCCTCAATATATCTCTTTCTTTCAGAGCCCAGCCATACAATACTGCAGGTAACCACAGAGCTGTTATTGACGGTGAGTTCTTACTCCTTCTCCATAGAAGACAGTTCTGGATCATTGTAAAGGCAGCTAGTTCTGAGTGCATGGAAAAAACAGGAAGCAGTAAACATTTTCTCCACTGTTACCACTTTGTAAGCACAATAGATTTGGGCATTTTAAACTGTCTAATGTCATCCCATTGTTAATATTAAACAAGTCTACACCTGAAACGATGAGATCAGGCTGTGATTCTTTTACCATCAGTTTTGAAATACAGTAATTGCCCATCACTGGGAAACATAAAAGGAAGATCAAAAACACCAAACACCTCCAGGGGGCTCTCCTGTCCTTGTCGTATTTTCTCTGGTATGTTCAATCTATCTTATTCCAGAAACGTATTACAAATTTTTATTAATAACTCAAATAGTATATTTTATATACCAAGAACAATCTCTCTCAAGCAGTCTAATTTTATTTACATATAAACACAGTCAACTTTAAGAATGAGGATTTTCCAAGGCACAAAGAGGAAAAGTGCCAGTGTCAGCTTTCCTTGTTACTGTTGTCACAGAAGAATAACAGGACACTGACCACCGTCTAGCTGAGCTGTTTGGGTGATACAAGTGAATCCTCACTGTAACCAGAAGTGACTGTGTCCAAAAAGAAAAATGTAACCATGTGAAATCACGAAATAAAAGTTGTGTTACGGTGTGTGAATGTGTTTATGCTTTTTCTGGTGTTCTATTGGCTGCTTTTGATATTCCATGTCGGTGAGATTCCTCTGTTAGCAAATTTCAGACTTGCTTTCTCTTAATTTCTGATTCATACTTTTACTTCTTCTCCTCTGTTAAATCTTTTATTATTGGCAAACAAACACTAGTTAAAGGGATTCTGTGATCCTTTCTACACGTGAGAGTTCTTTTTGTAATGTGAATAATTTCATAAACTTATGTATGTATTTGCACATGAGGGATAGTTATTAACATTAAATTTTTTTTTGTTTTTTTTTTTGTTTGTTTGTTTTTTAATGCCAGAAGGCTATTTCTGCCTGCGAAGGACAGAGGGCTTTTTCTCCCTGTATCCCCACCCTTCTCTCTGAGGGTCTGGTATTTCTTTGGAGTATATTTAGCAACTTCAGTTGGACAAGGACAGTCTGGCTAGTGTTGACAGTGTGCTAGAAAAAACCCAGCGAAGCTGGACTGGAATCAAGAAAGGGCAGTCTTCCAAGCGTAGACCTGCTGGGTTTTAACTTCGCGCGCTCCTTCGAGAGGAAACCGCAAACTTGCCACCCACCCAATACTGTCACTCCACAGGCTGCGGATGGATTCCTCACTATTTTCAACATAAGGATGGCTCCTTAGATACAATTTAACCTTGAAAAGTATTTTCTTTTCTGTACAGATCTAAAGTTGTAAAGAAAAAAATAAGGCAGACTGAGGAAATCACTTTCTGAAAGTCTATTAGAGGTGGTGGCGGTATGTGTATGTAGGGAGAGGGTGAATTGTTTGAGAACACTGGTGGGAATAAAGCAAAACAATAGGCAGGTTTTGTTCCCTGGCAGGGTATATGTTTGCCTTTGGTTAGAACCTGCTGGAAGCTTTCTGATAAAGATCATGGGGAAAGTCAGAAGGTGTCTACATGTTAATAATGGAAAGACCCTGAATTGTCTGGTTTCTACAATCTAACCACAGATCTGTAGTGATCGTATGTTCTGAACCCCAAGTCATCACATACAGTCTGTCCAAGAACGGGGGCTGCTTTAGAGGCTGAACGAAGATGTAGTTAGTATGCCAACACGGTAGGATGCAGAGGCCTTTCAATAATCTGTGTGGTCAACAGAGTAAAATTCTTTCTTCTTACACATTTTCAAATGTGGACATGTTTCAGCTCCTCACACAGGTAATGTCACCATCAAAAGAAGGAGGGTCAATTGGAGGAGAATTCAGACAGGCAGCTTAGTGACTACAGCCAAAGTCAGAGCACAGACCCTCTAAGACAAATCTAATTCTTTTTATTCAGCCAATTACTTTAAGGAGGTGGTTCTCAACGCGTGGGCCTGAGGCCGGCAGCACCAGCATCACTGGGAGCTCGTTAGAAATACAGATGCTCCTGCCTGCTACATCAGAAACTTTGTAGGTGAGACCCAGGATGCTGTGTTTTAACAAGCGCTCCAGGTTATTCTGATGCACAGTAAAGTTTGAGAACCACTGCTCTACAGCAACAATCTTAATCTTGTGCACATCCTTCAGTTTATGAGCATCTACTATATACTGGGCATGAGCTTGGAGCTTCTTTGAGGAAAGAGATCAAGACTTCTCAGTACCACCTGAGACCATTTAGAAACCTGAGGGAAGGGGATGTCAGAGTAGGAAAGAGAACAAAACAAACGTTTGAGAGGAAAAAAGAGAAAGCTATATAACTAAACCAAATATGATAACTGTTCTCTATGGTAGCTATGCAGGAGGAATAAAAATACTGAATGAAAAAAAGCCTATTGAAGGAGTTGAGAGTGTACGGTGCTAATGAAAATACATGACAATATGATTTCCTAATGGGTTTGGCTGGAAAATTATTGATGTCACCTCCCCCAATTTTTGTCTAAAAAACAACTTCTAATTTCATAAACATGTTATTTTTAAGAAGAAAGAATCTTAAAGAGAAACTCGTTGCTGTTTCTCTTTCTGGGAAATCTCATGACATAATGCAATCTGAGTACAGATGAGTGCTAAAGGGGAACGTTACACCGACATTTGGTTCCTCGATTCTTGATATCTTCCTTCTGCAACTTCTTGTTTTTAGCAGTTGCATTGGAGGTAAGAAGATTTTATGAGAGTAAAATTTGTATAATTTTAAGTATTGTTAGTCTAACTTGGTGTCAGTTAATCTTAAAAGAAAACTAGAAGACTAGAAGAATGTTGTAACAGTAAACTACCCTAATGGTAAATTTTCTAAAGCAAAAACATTTCCTTGAATTTTTAACCCAAAAGATGCACACTATAGGCAAATAATTCCACAGGTTACCTGCAATAAAAAATGGGCCATAGGGGGAAAAAACCTAAATGGATTGTTTGCATGTGGGGTTGGCATTTCACCTCTACAGAAAAACTCCACTAATTAAGATCTTATTTTTTTCAGAATTTGTAGCTGTTTGTACATTGTCCAGGCTTTCTGCTTTTCCAATATCCATTAAGATGGGAGGGAGAGAGAGGGAGGAGCGGGCAGGTGAAAGTGGTGGGGGGAAGGCAGAGACAGATGTATTTGGAAAAATAAATTAATTAATTTAAAAAAAGAGAAAAAGGGAACTGGTTATAAAAATTAACATTGTAAGCAATATTTGAGATGGAGAAAAATCTCAATTGAGCAAACATTCCAAATAGTACTTGTCTCTATTTAGTCTATAGTGTCAGAAAAATTATTTGTAACTTGGAAATTGAAAAAGGAAATTATTGGGTATTCTTTCAAAGCAGTGCTGACTGTTAGCTGTCAGGCTATTTTACAGCTCTGTGGGGCCAGAGGTTAGCGTTTAGGTTTTTGTTGAGCAGAGGTGCAAATAATTTTTGTCCAGCACATAAGATAACCTAAAGTTGTTTATCTCCCTGCTGAACATTAATCAGTTATGTATTTAAACCAACAATCTTATCCTAACTCTATAAATTGCCCATTGATATCTATCTTCACAAATGTTCTTTGAACTCGTTTTAATTCCTTATTGGTTCCATCGTTAGGTAATTAGTTGAATAAAACCATTGGCATAAATCCATTTTATATTTGCATTAAAGTTATGATTTTGCCTTTTTGAAAATTATATGTTAATAATAGTGAGCAATGATTTTTTTCCTATTTATCCAAATAGCTCAAAAGCTGTTAGTTAAGCAATATTTCCAAAGTCACTAAATAAAATGTTTAAAAAAATATTGGAAAGCCATTAAATTGGTTCTAAAAAATATTCCAAATTTCCACTTGCTATCATTTCTCTCCACTAGTGAGGTTTTTTTCTCTTTTAAAGATTGTATTTATTTATTTTTAGAGAGAGGGGAAGGGAGGGAGAAAGAGAGGGAAAAAAACATCAATGTGTGGTTGCCTCTCATGCACCCCCAACTAGGGGCTTGACCTGCAACCCAAGCATGTGCCCTGACTGGGAATCAAACCAGTGGCCCTTTGGTTTGCAGGCTGGCACCCAATCCACTGAACCATACCAGCCAGGGGTCTACTAGTGAAGTTTTGATGCCTCAATATAACATCTAGATGATCTAGGTAAGTATTACCATATTTACCTAGATGATTGTTATACAATATGTGTTATATACATATACTGTGTGTGTATCTGTGATGCCTTCTTTTGCTGGGGTGTATAAAACCGCATGTACATTTAAAAAAAAATTAAACAACATTAACAAATGCATTCTTCAAGATAACCAAGATCATGGGGGAAATAGACAGTAGTACAAATAACTAAAATTGCATCTATCATGGGACAAAGGGAACTTTTAAAGTGCGGCATTATTATCAGGATGCAAAATGCAATACCCGGCATGCAGGCTCTCTCAACTCATGACTGAAATGCAAACACCAGCTGCAGAATGAAAACCAAGTCTTACTTAGCTGCTTCTGATGCTTCCCTCAGTTCTTCATCCAGTCTGCACGAGCAAAAATTATCAGTGTAGAGAACAAAACAACAAAAAAAGGCAAGCAGAGCATGAGACAGTCACCCAGCAAAGCAGAGCCAAACATAAGTGGAATGTATGTGCTTTTAAAAACCATCTTCTGGAGCACCGAGGGACACTCCTTCAATTAAATGTGGTGTTATTTCCTCCCATTCAGTGTTTACGTATTTTACTTTTCAATTCCTTCATCAAGGTGAATATAAAAGTTGCAAGGAGATCAGAAACATGCTGGCTGAATAAAGCTCAAAACATCCACATCAGTCTGTTGGGTACAATGAAAGTTAGTTTACAGCCTGGGCCATGTCAGGGATGTATCTGGGTTTAGTAGGTTTCAGCTGCAGCTTAGGTTGACCTCAACAGCTTTACACACAAGACAAAGACATGAATGGTATACACAAGGGGCTAATACAATGACCTCTTGCTCTGGAAGCATGTTGAGGTCACCCATGAGTAAGACACTGGTGCACACACACAGAGGGTCCAGCATGAAGTGTAGATCAGGAGATTTTACCTCACACTTCTCTTATAAGATCTCTCTTCATCGTACCTTACAAGACAAAAGACGGATGCAGTGAGGAAAACGAGCCAACAAGTGAAAAACATGACAGGTAAATGATTTAAAGAATAGACAGAACATTAGAGAAAAAACCTACCCAAATAATAATCAAATTGCCTTTTGGGAGAAATCTTCTTTTTATTAGATATAATCAATGATTTAGAATTTCTAATTACATGCAGCCAATTCTCATTATTTGCAGATTCTCTGCTTGCTAAACTTTATTTGTAACTCCCAAATCAATACCTGTGGCACACTGATGATCAATTGAGGACATTTATAAAGTAGCAAAAAATTTGAGTCACCTGACAGGCACTTTCCAGCTGATATGGAACAAGGCAAGTCTCTGCCTTCTAGTTTTAGCTTTCAGGCTATAAACAAGTGTCATTTTTGCAGTCTATTTAGTGCCATGTTTTGTGGGTTGTTTTTTTTTCTTTTTGTTGGTATCTTGCCATTTAAGATGGCCCCCAAACATAGAGATAAAATGCTGTATAGTGACCCTAAGCACAAGAAGGCTGGGGCGTTCCTTATGGAGGATATATGTTTGTTAGATACTCTTTGTTTAGGTATGATGTATGGTGTTCTTGGCCATGAGTTCAATAATAATGAATCAACTATATATCAATTATTTTAAACAGAAACACATAGAGCAATGTTATATGTTAACTGGTTGACAAAAATGTGACCAGAGGCTTGTATTTCCTTTAGGAACAGCAGTTTAGTTTTTGCTCTTTTGTATTCTAGAATATCACTGCAGCAAATAACAAGAATTGCCTATAGTCATTGACTATAAATCTGATTCCGGATTGGGCAACTTTTTCTTTCATTTAAGCCCTTTGATGACAGGCTTCATCCGAGTAGAACACTGGTGTTGGGATTGGCTGAGATCAGATCAGTAATAGGAAGGGACTGTGTCAATTTGAAAATGGTATATCATGAAAATGCGGACCAGTAACAAAAATGGCAGAAAGGACAACCAGAGATGGATTACAGAAGACAGGAGATAACATGGATAACATGAGGAGGACATGCAAGGCTGTAAATTTCTTCCTCTGGAAGAAAATCTTTCCAAATGGAACCCTCCCTCCTGAAGTAACTTTTTAATGTGGCCCTTGAAAACTGAAGTGGTTAGATGAGTAAAAAGTGCCCTGAGCATGTTAAATTTTTCAATTCAACTTTCCCATATCACCATGAGACTCTAAAGGCAACATGATGATAATAAATAACATTCGGAATTGTCAACTTTGTGCCAGGAGGCTTTCTGAATGATTTCTGTACTTTGTTTTCATTTAGTCTCCAGGCCCAATTCTTGAACCGCGTCTTACTTCTCCAGGACACTGGCTGAAGCTGAGGTTCAGGGTTTCAGTGAGCTGCCTGATGTTTCAGACACTGAGAGGCAGGCAGGAAGCTTCACATCTAATGCTAAGCTTCCAAAGCCCATTCTCTTCTCTCCCAACAGCCATAGCACGGAAGTATTACTATATTTACCTAGAGCATTGATTTTCAACCTTACTCACATCATGGCACACATAAACTAATTACTGAAATTCTGCAGCATGCCAACAAGTGTATTTTTTGCTGATCTGACAAAAAAGTACAGTTTCGATTCATTCACACCAGACAGCTACTGTTGTGTCGGCTGTTGTCATTTTTTTATTTGACAGTCTAAGGGAAAAGAGGTCAGTGCCCCTAACTAAGTTGGTATTGCATGTTCTAAAAATTCTTGTGCCACACCAGTTGAAAATTGCTGGCCTAGATGGGGACAATGCTCATTTCCACTTGAAAAGAGAATGTCCTTGTCATCTTTTGCAAATAGAGACAGTATTACAGAAAGTGGGTGTTCCAGGGCTTTTTTTATTCAAAGAGTAGGAGTAGATTTTTGAGATGGAGTGCACCTCTGTGAAGCAGCAGACCATGGCTTTGAGGTGTGCCGGCTGTGGGAACCCTGAGAAGCTGGAGGATCAGAGGCATTGCCAGGACCTTATGGACAGCCTGCTTGACTCAGCTGAGCCAGCTGGCCACTCTGAGCTCAATCAGTATCCTGGGTTGATGTCTGATATTGGGATGTAGGAAAATTAAATGCCTCTTCTTCTGAGCTGTGACTTTAGTTGGATACATTAAAGGAGGCAAAGGTAACTACTAGAAAAGGACATGGGGATTTGGGTGCTAGGCTGATTAGACTGAATTCTAGTTCTATCTTTTCTCCTTCCTACTTATACTTTGCATAAGCAATTTCTCTTTTCTAAGGTATCTTCCTATATCTGTAAATGATATAAAGAGAGCATTTGCATGCCCCACAGAGCATAAATAAACACTAAATGAGAGTCCTTTCTTTCCCATTTCTGTGCCTTTTTTTAAAAAAAAAGTGAGGACTCTTTTTTTTTTCTGGGGGTGCCCAGATTGGTAGGTCCATTTTCTTATCCATCTTCTGGAGGAAGATGTGGTATCCTTGTCTATTTTCTTTGAGCTGATGGTAACCTTCCAATCAATTCTATTCAAATAAAAAACTGGTGAATCAGGTACAGTGAAAGAAAAACATGATCCACAGAAAGCAATGGTTCCTTGCAACACTGAAACAAATAGAAGAGTTCCTTTTCCTGTGTCCTGTTTTTAAGTCTCAGCTCCAAGTGGTTTTTCTTTTTTAGCTAATTTATACTCTTACTTTTGTAGCATACCCTGCAACCTTCAGCATCAAGGCTGGGGCATTACCCTGTGCTGAGTAAGGAAAGGTTCCTAATTGTGCCACTTAGCACTCAGCCTTATTTTTCTCCTGAAGGGAACTGTGGGGAAAAAAGGATTCAGAGGAAAACAGAGAAAAGGTCTTAGGGTAATTTTTTTCTCTTTTCCTAGTGTCGTGCAAACAAGTAACTCTATATAAGATGATAAAGAAATCAAACTATGTTCACACCCTATTGTGTCTGTGTGGAGAGGGAGATACATGTAATGGATGGACTGACTAATGTTAAATTTATGCTTTCTCCAAAGTGGTAGTAAATTCAAAGTGAAAACGAGCAATGATCAATCATTCCAAGAACAGAACAGTGATCTTGGGTTCTAAGAAAAATACATACAAGTTTGGAGAATATTTAATATTTTTTTAAAACATAAGATAATGCCATTCCCCTCCTATTTAAGAAATGAATTGCTTTCCAATCTTCTTTCCCCCACATGCAACGTTTCTTACCAAATCTTTGAAACCATGAGGACTTACTTGATGATGCTCTCTGGAATCTGGATGCAATCCATTGGGATCAGCCCACTGAGCTCCGATAAGCTGCTGACATATTTAATTTTACTGCTGAATTTTGAACTATAAAAAAGAAGACAAGAAAAAAATATACATGATTAGTTGTTCTTTCATCCCTCAAGGCCACTGCCTCTTCTTAAAAATCCTGATTATGTTGTATTTAACGCCTTGCCCAGCATTCATACTGAGAAGAAAGGCTACATTATCTGAGTAGTTAACTATGTGCCAAAGACTGTTTTAAGTGGTTTATCTAAATTAACTCATTTATCTCTTAGTATAGTCTAGTGTGGTAGATACTATTATTATTCTCTTTTAAAAAATAAGGAAACCGAGATCCAGGGAGTTAAATATTCACCAGCAGTAGGTGGCAAAGCCTGATTTTAAACTTGTGCAGTTGGACTGCGGAGGTCACACTTTGACCACACAGACCCTGTGGTTCCTGCCACTCTGCATTGTCACTGGTTTCTGGTTCATTTGCTTGTTTATTTGTTCTTAGCAAATGAAAATCTTGTCATTAGTTCTTGACATCTACCAATGTTAGCATATTTTAAAAGCACATGGAAATTCATTTTCCTCTTTTTCTTTTTTTTAGTTTTAGTTTTATTTTAATATTTGAATTCATTCCAGATGAACGAAAGTTCAAAAACTGTTCCAGTGACTGGATTTGGATTAAAAACCACTTCTACCTAAATGTTATTATTTGTGATGTGTTAAATGCATAGAAAATAACTTGGAAGGAGACCACTGAAGCTGATAAAGAAATGTGCTTCCAGTCCTGGCTGACATGTCTCAGTGGTTGAGCACTGGCCTACAAACTAGAAGATCATTGGTTCAATTCCCAGTCAGGGCACATGCCGGGGTTGCGGACTAGGTCCCTCTCTTTCTCCCTTCCTCCTCCTCTCTCTAAGAAATACTAAATAAAATTAAATTAAAAAAAAAAAAAGGAAAGAAATGTGCCTCTGAGGAAGGGAGTTAGAAACAGGAATTAGTAGTTGCTGAAGGAAGACCTTGGTAAGAACGCATTTCTCTATCACTGGTGTGATTGCAAACTAATCTTAAAAATGTATCATTCCACTTGAAAGGGAACTTGATCAAGCATTGAACTTTCTCAGATGGTTTCAAATGAAAAGATTCCCCCAGTCTACTGGGGTCATGCTGAGCTGTCTGCCAAATGTACTTCCTTCTGTTCAACTACTGTGCATTCCGATAGGAAGCTTTTCAAGGTCAAGTCTCTATACATCTATCTTTCTATTTTACTTGCAGCTTTGACCCTGGATCACTGGCTATGCCTATGAGCAACGGTCCACTCTATACAATCACTTTCAGCCCTCCTGGTAAGGCCTGGGTGAATACACACTACCAATGATAGGCTACGTGGGGCCTCTTCCTTCCTCCAGATTTTCGAGCTTAATTGAGGCTTTGATGAAAGACAAGTGAGTGGACTGAGAGGGAGGAAGTAGTCATACAAGGGGAAACCCCCCTCTCCAGTGTTACATTCGCTGGAATGTACGGTTCTCTAAACATCATGCAGTGTTCTCTCCTTCTTGGTGTATTTGGAACTGCTGTTTCCCTGACTTGGTTTTAGCTCGCCAATTCTATTAGCTCGTCAAAACTCACCCTGAAGGCTCGTTCTCCTCTAAGGCTCTCTCTCAAAGCAGGCTCTCACTCAGTCTTTGCTCTCCACCCACAACCCTAAAACTCACCCTGCCCTTGAGTTATCACCCCTCATTGTGCTTTGTTTGTTGTCTGCCTTGTCTGCTTTGCGCTCCTAAAGGACAGCATCTGAGCTACTTAATTTGTCATTCTCCAGCACCTAACTCAGGGCTTGGCCCGGACGAACTATTCATTTTTAAAAAGGAATTTGCATATACCTCTCACATAGTGGTTACCCTTAGCATTTTGCTTGCAGTTTTGACCCTGGGTCACTGGCTATGCCTTGTGAATAACCTTCTCCATACAGTCACTACTAGCCTTCCTGATGAGTCTTGGAGGAACACATGCTACCAGCAACCTATAAAACAGACTTGTAATACATCACAGTGGCCTCTTCTTTAGAGCGTAAAAGTTGGTGTAAATTGATTCAGAAGGGGGATATTTAAAGAGGGTCTTATATGATGAAACTGTAGGTACAACGTATAAGTACTTACACTGTGTGATCTTTAGAATTAGGCAGCCAATTGGATTTAAAACCAAAGTTTCATTTATTGGCTATGTTACCTTAGACCTGGTGTTGGCAAACTACGATCCACAGGCCAAAGCCAACTAGTTAACTGTTTTTTACAGTTCTTGAGCTAAGAATCATTTCTATGTTTCTTTTAATGGCTGAAAAATATCAAAACAAGAATATTTTGGGATGTAAAAGTTTTTATAAAATGTAATTTCACTATTCATAAATCAAGTTTTATTGGAACATAGCCATACTTATTGCTTACATATTGTCTACGGTTGCTTCTGTCCTACAATGGCAGATTGGGTACTTGTGATGGAGGCAGCATGGCCCATAAAACCTCAAATATTTGCTATTGGATCATTATAGTGTGGGTTTGCTGGCTCCTGATTTAGACAATTTATTTGACCTCACTGAACCTCTGGGTTTTTTCCTGTGTAACAAAAATAATAAATAGCACTTCCTTCAGAAGATTGCCATTAGAATTAAATGAAATAATGCATGTAAGCACTCCATAAATGTAAGCCATTATTACATGTAATTTACCACAACACTATTTGCTGTCTTATTATTATTGTTGTTGTAATTATGATTATATTGAAACTTGCTTCACTAATGTTGAATTATAACTGTTTTCAATATTTTTACAGTAACAAATATTTTATTTAGCAAGAATGTTTTATAAATATAAAAACTGAATTATTTAAAAAACCAATAAATCAATATCAATTTTAATGTTTACTTTTTTATACATTAAATTTTTTGTAAGTTTTTTCAGTGTACATGTATTCCCACTCCTTGTCAAAGTGTTTTCTGCTATCATTAAAATAAAAGGCTTTTGTATATCAAATATTTCATGTTATTTTTCAGGCAATTTGACAAGGCATAGTAAAGAGCTAAACTTGTCAAAGGAAGATTAAATTGAATTGTGATACTCAATTGTTGGAAGTATAAAATGGAAATGTTAAATAATTACAAGTGAACACTGAGCAAAAAATGGTAAACTCTGGAAGGCATAGTAAAATCTATATAAAATAGGGTGGGTAGATTTTAACCTCTAATTTTTTTCTCCAGAAGTGAAGTTATCAGAGTTTTTCTTAGTGATTCACTAATACCTTTGAGGTAGAAAATTTTCAGTTTATGTAAACTGTATCCCAATGTTAGGTAAGACTTTATTATATTTTTAAAGATTTCTAGAAAATACATACTGTCCCTTTCATGTAACTGTTTCAAGTCTTTCAGTATTATGCCTATCTCACTCTTCTTTGCATTCCCCAAATGTGAGATTATAAAGCATCTAGTACAACAAAATGAGGAATAAATAATCACTGAAATGAACTGAGTTTGAAACCAAGAACCTAATGGGAAATTTAAAAAATGCTGTCAACATGGCTGCCCACGCTTTCTACCTAATTTTGGCGACATTCATAATATTTGTTAAACAAAAATAGAACAATGAAGATGAAACATGGCTTCTGCTTCTGTTCTTTGGTTGTCTTTATTTTCTATTGTCATGTTACTCTACCTTTTCTACTTTCTACAAAATATCATATATCACTTTAAAAGTATTGTCTATTCCTTTTTGTAATGTGACATAGAAATTCCCACTTCATCTTCTATGTTCACAATAACCAACACAGAGATCATGTTTTATAATAACGGTATGGGGGAGAAATAGTCATTATGAAATAATGCTCACTTTCAATTAGGACCTTTTGCTAGACAGTCCAAAGTGTCTTTCCAGAAAAGACAGAGGTGCCCTTTCTAGAAAAGACAGAGGTGTGGCTCAGTGGACTGAGAGCCAGCCTGGAATCAAAGGGTAGCCGGTTTGATTCCCGGTCAGGACATATGCCTCGGTTGTGGGCCAGGTCCCCAGTAGGAGGCGCACGAGGCAACTACACATTGATGTTTCTCTCCCTCTCTTTCTCCCTCCCTTCCCCCTCTCTTTAAAAATAAATAAATAAAATCTTTTTTAAAAAAGACAGAGGCAAATATGTCAAGTTCCTTCTTAGTTTATGAGTTCTTGTTTATAGATCAATTAATACTTTTAAAAAATCTACTAGTAATGCTTTTACTGTTACTATAATAATAAACATACCTTATAAAAGGTCGTGTCACTGCAAGGATTGTTCTAATGAACCAAGATGGATGAACGATGATGAATGATTTCAAGTTCTTCCGCAACCTATTTTGAAAAAAATATTGCTTATAACCCATTCTTAGTGGGAACTAAAACATAAAGCATATGCCCAAATAAGAATATATAGAAAGAGTTCTAGGCAAGTGATTATTATTAGCAGCAAAAGTGTAGAATAGTCATAACTAATAAAAAAATGCTTTTCAACATATAATTTGAAACTTTTATGATTCAAGCCTCATTTTCTCAGAATAGAGGTAAAATAGAATGGTTGTATTCTTGGAGTCGATAAATCTGTAACCATCATGGCATATTTTTTATTTAACAATGCTTTTCATTTTTGTCAGCATTATCTTTACTATTTTGGGAAGAATTCACTCTTACCGGTAATTTACACAATTAATCTATCTCTGAGCCTTCGTGTCTTCTTACATATAGTGAAAACAGAAATAGTGTATCACGTGGTTGTTTGGCCTTCAGGCTACAATTTTAATGCGCATGATTTTCAGGCACATCTTTTAGCATTAGTAATGTCCCTTTATGAATATTTAGATCATTAAACAAATTTTAGTTACTATAACAGGGTACTCATGTATTGTTATGTAAGGAGCTACATGTGAGTGAGTGCCACACCTATCATAGATATCATAAACTTGTATGTTTATGATGGTTTCCCTGTACATGGCAATAATGTGTTTTGTTCTATTAAAAGCAGTATGAATGAAAATAAAGTATCTTGAAGAAGGGGGCACTCAGAGACACCATGTGGGCTAGTGGTTAATGTGAATTAACAGCAAATGCTGAAATAAGAGCCCAGCATTTTCAGAAATCACAGTAGTCCCAGTGCACAGAAATAGCATCAAGATCACATGACACCTGAAAGAGTCATGGACACTGGTTTACCAGTTCGCGTTGCATCTCCATGCGGCAATAACATATGCCTAGTTTAAAACAGACTAGGCCAGCAGGTCTGAGATTACAACATTTAACAAAATCTGGGGAGGATCTGCTTTATTTAGATTTGGGGTACCAAGTGCACTTTGATTAATCTGTTATCGTTTATTATCTCAACTCTGCGTAATTCATTGTTCACGAAATGTAATTACATTTTGGTAGATTAAGAGAGTTTGAAATGGGGTTGATTGAGAAAGTGAAAATAGGGATTAAATGAAGGAGCCCACCTACCGTCTGTCAATCATTTGGTAGCATTTCTTCATCCAGCCCAGCCCTGGCATCTTCCGTCTTGGGGTAGCGCCATTCAAGTACACAATCATATAATCTTCAGCTACCATCAGCTCTAGAGTACTTATTACATATCTGATCACAGAAAAGGAGAGGTGTGTTTTCAGCTCCCACATGAAATACTTCATCTTATCTACACCATAATTATATAGCATTTAAATGACAGGGTGCATGATATTTAAGGATATGCATATTACCTCTTCACCTTTAGAAGAATCAGTTACCTAAGATCATTTCTCTGAGAGTGAGTATTGTTCATTTACATGTACAGTTATCTTTTTTTTTTAAATGCAGGTACAGTAAAAAAAAAATGTGTGGGTAAGAAACCTGACTTTCAAAAAATATCAATGTTATCATATACTAAGGGCAACTCAGATTAAATAAGGGCAGATATAAACAAAGTCAGGTTATCATCAGTTGACTAAGAACATTTTGGGGAACAAATAAAACACTTCACCCAAGGGAAATGTTACAGAATTTTAAAATGCAGGTGAAACTGTGTTCGTTTTGTTTTCAATCCATTCTATTGGCAAGAGTGACTTCAAAGGTTTTAGTCTCTTGAGCAATGTTCCTTGACAGGGGTTTCATTGACTTTTTACCAAAGGCTTAGAATATTCTACATCACTTATTTCCTTTTACTAAAGATGCTTATCTGCCATACATGCCCACAGACATTAACTGAAAGCACTTTGTCATAAGTATCACTCACAGGAAAAGATTTTCCATGACATAGTGGTAATCCGCCCGACTGCTGTCTGGCAGAAAACAGGCAGCAAACACAATGATGGCATTTAGGCCGTCCCCATAGTATCCTGGGGGACAAACAAAAAGACATTTGTAACCAATTGAAAGCTTTAACAAGATAATATTTAACCGAAAGGATAAAGCTGGAGGCCTTGACAAGTGTATGGATGTAGATATAAGAGATATCTTTAAGTGAGTATTACATAGACTATACTTTCATAAGTATATACACATATAACTATATTTCAGTGGTAAACATATATGTTATATAGAGTCTTAAATATATGTGAATATCTTTGCATATATAGGATATCCATATGTTATGAAGAATTATATGTGTTGTACATTGTCATGACTGGGTGTATAAATATTCAACTTACCAAAGGGTGGGGCAACATTTTCTGATTTATGGGTTTCTAATTTATATATTTAAATATGGTAATTTGTATAATACTCTTTTCCATTAGTGGCTAAGAAAGCTTTTCTTTTTTAATGTTTTTATTCATTTATTTTCAGAGAGAGGGGAAGGGAGGGAGAAAGAGAAGGAAAGAAACATCAATGTGTGGTTGCTTCTTGTGCACCCCGTACTGGGGACCTGGCCCACAATCCAGGCGTGTGCCTTGACTGGGAATCGAACCGGTGACCCTTTTGTTCACAGCCCAGCACTCAATCCATTAAGCCACATCAGCTAGGGCAGGAAGTTTCTGAATAATCATTGTAAGCTCTTTTTACTTCTAGAATGAAGGGAAAATTTAGTCACTGAACTGCAATATAATCTCAGAAAAACACTTCAGTGACCAGATGCCAGTGAGTAGCCAAGTAAAACACCTTGGTTTTGATTAAGAGGACAGGTGCACTTGCCTGTAGTGTCCTCACAATCTCCAGATTCAACAGGCAGTGCAGGAAACATGGAAAGTTCTGGCCAGGCAAAGAATAACTGAGCAAAGACTTCAGAGCCTAGTCTCTTAAAGAAAGGGGCACCCTCAAGAAGGGGTGGTCTGGGTAAAGCCCCACTCTCTCAGAGTTTTATGAAAATAAGTGCTTTTGGGAAAACTTGAGAATTACTTCTGGTAACATGGGTGGGACAGGGAATAGAAATGTTATGTGCAGATGGGATGAAAAAATAGGCAGTGGGAGATACAGACAAGCGTGGTCATTGAAACTCCAAGGGTCAAGGAAAAGGTAGCGCTATCTCAGGGCATCTTGCCCACTTCTGAAAGCTCTGCTCCACCCGAGCTCTGTGTTCCTTAGAGTTCATCTTTGAAGTTCATGGCGTTAGCGGATCAGATCCCCGCACATTTGGGTGTGGAACTTCATGTGTCTTCCAGACTTAAAAATGGAAGCAATGTACTATATTTTCATATTTTTTTATACCTCCTTTTAAACACTTGCAATTTTTGTCACCCAAAATAGTTTTGGACTTCAGGATCATTACGTAGAGGGTCCCTCAAAGTTCTCAGTAGGACAGGACACACCCTCAGGCCTGACCCAGCCTTCTCAGAACCCTCAAGTACCCCTCTCGTTGCATGGCAGTAAAATACTGTCTGCGTAGAGATTTGGATGGGCTTAACTCTTGAAAGCAGTTTAATAAGATGTTTTCTACAAAGAGAGAGTATGATTCTACCACAAAAGAGGTGGGGGAAGAAAGTGATACCATCTAAAAATATATCAAATTATGGGTTCGCGTGTATTACTAATTTGCTGTTGTTGTATGCAACACTTATAGAAGAGGCTACCTATGTAAGTGTACATCTGATGAAACACATGTTTGTGAAGCAGGATTGCAGTAGTTTCCCTCTGGACTTTTTGCCTTAGTTCCATCTTTTCCAATAAGTTGATATTTACCAACTTCTTTTGAGAATGTGATATGAAGAGAAATGATAGAAAGAGATATATTTTAATACAAAAGTATTTGTTTCTTCAAACAATTTTCTTTAAGAAGCTTTATGCCTCAATAGAAATCCATAAAGGATAAGGTGACTTAGCTATACCAATTCTACGCCACAAAGGTGTGCAGTATGGACTCAACACAATGAAAAAGGTGACTTCCTCAGAACAGACAACAGTCAACTTAAAAACATGTACAAAAGCATCTTTCTAAATGCAGCTGTCTGACTACTAGAATGACTTCAAGAGTATAACTGACCAGTTACTTTGACTTTTTTCTATTTCTGAAGAATTTCTAAGAAATTTTTAAGAAAATGAAAGCCTGAGGTTTATCAACAGTATTTCAGACATCATCTCACGTGACAATTCAGCTCCGTGCCAATGCTGCCTGTCCTTGGAATATTGCATCACGGTCACTCAAGTTTGTTTCACCAATTCTTAAGGACCAACTTACCACCTTCTGACCACTGTCTGAGTCAGGAATGTCTCTTCAGATAAAAATGTCTGAAAATTTACAAATGAGGTGGCTTTTTGTACTTGGGGGCAGAGGAACAGTTGGAAGGGAAGAAAAGAGTGAGGAAGAAAACTGGAGGAGAGGAGGAGATGTCAGAACAAAAATGGATGGAAAAGGTTTCATCGTGAGAGTCTTCCTTCTAAATCAAAAGCTGTTGCCATTGTTGTTGGGCTTTGGAGACGCTTCAAACAGCAACTGCTGACAGAGTCCCATGACCAGAATGAGAGGGACCATTCCCTCCTTCCCTCACAGATATCCTCAAAGGGGCTGACTAACCCAATTTCTTTTCTAAATATGCCGCTCACCCAAATGAAGTTGCCTGTCAGCAACTTCATGATGTGTTTGAAGTGTAGGTTTTAAAAACATGTATTTTATTAGACTTGCTTTTCAATAACCGTGAGGGTCCTTCAGGGCGTGTGTGCTGAGGTGCGTGAGCAATCCCCATCGCGGTGCCTCCTGAGACCCTCTAAAGCAGTGATGCAAACCTTACCTGTGGCAGAACAGAGAGGCATGAAAGGGACGTAACACAAGTTTGCTGGCCCACAAATGGGATGGAGAGAGAAGGGAAGATGTCACAGTTGCCACCAAAACATACACACACACACACACCAGCTAGCAACTCTTCTCCTCATTCTTTCCAGGATCATTTGTCCAGCAACACTGCAGAGAAGGTTACCTGAATCTCCTATAATGAAATGAGAAGTAAAAACAAAAACAAAAAACAAGAAAGGAAACTCCTCATTACAATGCTTTGGCATGACTGTCCTTGGTCTTTTAAATGTGTTCTCTGTTTCAAGTTCAAAAAAAGGCCAGTTCTGGCCTCATGGTTGGCAAACCCAAACCACCCAGGCTTCCCTTTGCTTTCTTATATAAGCAGACGGCGGCACTATTGCTCCTGGGCTCATAGGATATCACCCTCGTTTGACTGATGAAGTAACTTAGGCCCAGAGAAGCTAAGTGATGTACCAAGGGCACAGACTAATTAGTGGCAAAGATGGGTCTTGAGCCCTGTTATTTTTACATGTGTACAGGGCTTCTGGCAATAACAGAAAACTGACTTGTTTAAATACTGCTCTCACACACTGGTATTCCCAACAGGCATGGACACTTGGTAAGGCCTTGTTTTCCAGTTAATTTATGCAGCTCTTTTAATCACTCCACCCCCATCTCGCAGTGGCACAGAGCACAAACAGCTGGCACTTTTCTATTGGCCCGAATGGGAAAACTTCCTTACAGCAAAATGCAAGACACCAAAACAAGATTTATGTTCTCTATAGAGTGCTGCTTTTTAAATGCTCATCAGAAGCCAGGATGACATACTCAACAGATGGGTAAGCAAGGAGTATTGCTTTATCATCACTAAGGTCTAATAAAGTGATGTGAGCTTCCAACACAGAAGACAAAGCTTTGGCAAATTCAGAGGTAACATCCGAACGATCTTCACCTACAGAGAACACAAGCTGCTGAGGGTGTAGGAAGAGATGGCGTCTTGCTAACGTGCGGGCGCGTGCAGCCAGGGCACGCTCATGCAGGCGGAGCTGGGGAGAGGAAAGGAGGCCTTGCCTTCCAAACGAACCGGAGAGTCAGTCACACGGCCAAAAATCAAGCTCACAACACAGACAGCGAGGAGCTGATGCCGAGGGGAGGAGGTGGCCGGGGTGGAGGGCACAGCAAACCAGGTTACCCCGGAGAGGGCAGTTCAGGGAGCACAAAGAATGTGACAGGCAGAAGCAGCGGCTTCTTCTGACCCCAGTGTTCTGACAATCGCTCTCTCTTAATTCAGGCAGCAGACCCACCCACTCAACCCACATGAAGATCCTGTGCTGGAGGAAAGAACAAGCAGGTGGGTGCACCGGAGGGGTAGGAGGTGTTAGGAGAGCAGCGAAGCAGTGAGCCTGTCTTCTTCACAACAAAAGGGCTCTGAATTTAAGATCGAGGGGTAAAAATGTACAGAAATTATCGCTGTTGTACAGTTTGGTTTTTATTTTTTGGTACTTTTTAGAATGAGCTCAGGACACTTTCATAGCTAGCCTTTGATTTATTTTTATTTCCAAAAAGCAAACAAATCATACCTCCTTTGCATACGGTGGGTGGTGCAAAGGAGGTTTGACCTTCTGGGAACACCTGGGTGATGTTCAGGTTGTTGGTTTTCATCATAACAAAAGGGTTGACTCTCTGACTCGTTGTCTGTCAGCTTCAGAGAGATTAAGCCAGAAGTTTCCCTCAGAGGAAGCTGTCTCTGCCCCACAGCAGCTATCAAGGGGATTTACCGCTTCAGGTCACACAGCAAAGCAGGAAAAAGGAAGTTCATGGCCTAGGACTCCTATTGGCATTTTCCTTCGCTGTTGCGGTTAGTCCCTGGGTGGTCAGATACTTAGCTACAGGTAGCAGCGCGTGGGATGGAAAGTGGATCATTTGCTGGGTGGAGGGAGCTTGGATTGAAAGAACAAAATGTCCTTTTGCTAGTTAGAAAACAGAAGCTTTATGAGTTTAATGTCATTCCAAGACACTTATTTCCCCATCCTTGTTAAGGAAGAGAGAACAACATTCGCCCTGTCAGCTTACACTTTCCTGCGTCAGCAGAGGGGCCAGGGTGGTGGCTGATCACTGAGGGAGAGGAGTGCGTGCAGCAAATAAACAAAAAAGCCGTTTATGTTTTCTGAAGTTGACAATGTTAAATATGTTACTTGTACTCATCAACTTTTTTTGTGAATCCCATGTTAGTCAAGGCTCTGCAGCTCCAAGAAAGCACTGGAAATACAAAACACAGCTTTTTGTCTCTCGGCTTGCCGCTCACTAAGGCTTTGGCTGGAACTGGCTGTTGTCAGGCATAGGTGTAATGGAGTTTATAGAAAAGCCAGTTTCAGGTAAGGGGAAAACATGACAAGGATGAGTCTAAAAAGATTTCCTAAAGCTTCTGAAGAGGATTTAAATGGCCATATTGTAATTAGAAGCAGCTCTACTGCAGTGATCTTACTACAGGCTACGGTGGTACGAACTCAAAAACTATTCCGTTAAAACCTACAATCAACCCAGAGGAATTCAGAGCAGACACTATTAAATTGGACAACTATGGCTTTCAAGAAATGTACACAGAAGTTTGTAACTATCAGCTGTGTTCTATGAAAAGCATTTTTCACATTTGAAAGTTATCTTTGTTTGGTAGGTTTTCTGATGTTTACGGAATTGAGTAGAAGTATTCTGCTCAGCTCTACAGCCCCCTAAACATGGGTGCCCAACGGGGTCTTTGGGATGTCAGGCCGCAGAGAACCCCAGTTTGGTTTTCTAATAAAAAATATGGCTGCCCATCCCCCAGGCCCCAGGTTCGCGCCGAGCCGGACTACCTCCGTGAGAGATGACTCTCCTGTAGGGCTCAATGACCCTCATGTCGATCCTCTGCTCCTGTTCTCCAATCACCACGGTCCTCCACAACCGGCTGTCTTCCCGCTCCTCCTCTGCTGTGTATTCTGGAATGGACTCGGACTCTTGGCCAGAGTCTTTGTGGGCTGTGGGAGCCTCTGGAAATGAAGCACAGAGCCAGGCTGAAGGAGCGAGAGCTTTACAGTTGAGGCAGTTCAGCAACCAGCTGTCTCCTGGCGGAGTCAACCAGATGGAACTCCCTGTTTTGTGTGACTCAGAGCTTAACCTGCCCACAGAAAGGACACTCAGTGAAGCTGTATTATTGACTGATTGAACAACCAAATCCATTGCTCAGGTCAAGCTGAGGGTGGGTACGGATGCAGGGCTAGGGCTGGCCTGTGTCAATAGTGGTCTAAGAGGGTATAGGCTAATACCAGCTCATTCTTGATCACACAGGTTGAAGACTGCAGGCCTTTCTGAGGGGGTAAAGGCTATGTATCAGGTCCAGATAATCTTGTTTTCCTTGGGCCCACATTTTCTGGTGTATCCTGAGAGCTCAGAGTCTTAGTACCTTGATGATACCCTGGCTTAGGCCCCTGCTTTAGGGCTCTTAAAATGGAGCTGAACCTCCTTCCCTACTGGGAGCACACCAGGACATACATCTCATGTACTTCCTATGGATTTTTCGAAATATGCTACAGCAAGGTTTTACTCTAAGCAAGAAAATAACTTGGTGGGCCAGAAATGTTCCAAGGCCAAAAATTCTAAAGGCTCCTATTTGTGGGTGCAGAAGGCAATAAAAAAGCCCATTGAGCATCTTGGGGGAAAAATATGCTACCTGCTCTTGTGCATCAAGAAAAAACAATCATGTTAAGTTTTTTTTTTAAAAAAAAGAGTAAGGAACAATTTTGTTTCTATTTTTACTTCAAGGACTAGCAGAGTTGAGCAATGATTGTTGTTTGTAGGTTTAAGTAATTAGAAGGAAGATATTATTTATAATTTTCAAAATAATTCTGTGAGATATTATCTATTTTATTTTTCCATTAAAAAAATGACCTTTGATTTATTTATATTCCTTTTTGTTTTTTTTTAATCCTCACCTAAGACCATGCTTACTGACTTGAGAGAGAGAGGAAGGGAGAAATAAACATCAGTGTGAGAGAGAAACATTGATTGGTTGCCTCCTGTACGCATTCTGACCAGAGATCAAACCCACAACCTTTTGGTGCATGAGACAATGCTCCAACCAATCGAGCCACTCGGCCAGGGTCACTTGTATTCTTTTTAGGGGACTTTGACAATAATAGCAACTACTATGTGTCAGACACAGTAGCAGGCATTACACCAGATATAATACCGATCCCAAAACTAACTGAAGTAGTTACCTTGGGTCACAGGGTTACAAAGTAAATATAGTCAAACCCTTATCTTATCTACTCTTCTAAGCTTTCACATTGTAACTTGAATGTGTTACTGTCTCATTCTTGTTTATTTCACTATGAGTCTGTGAGTTCCTTGGGCTAAGAAACTCTTCCTGAACTACCTTTAATTTCATCTCCACACTTAGCTTGGAAACCTGCACAGAGTATTCAATAAAAATTGGGAGGGTGAGTGGGTAAATAAAGCTTGGACAAGTTCCTGGAAATACAGGTAATCTGGCAGGAATCCATAACAAAGCCATTATGTTTCGGAAGATTCCATAAGAAACATTCAAACACGTCTAATTACCTGTGACTTAGAATAGTAAAATGAAGTCCTGTTGGGAAGCAGTCCTAGGCTTTTTTGCCAACACCAACAGCGACCAGCCACCTACAGAGCCTGACCTCACTCTGGCTTCCTTTGGTTCCCACCAGTGCTCAGCGGCTTACTATGGAAAGCAGCAACATTTGGCTGCAGATCAAGCATTGTGTCACTTGTACAAATCCATCCATCTGCATATGGAATGCCTTCCTGCTTCTCTCTTCCTGCTTGGGGAAGAGCCCTCGGATGCTCATCTTAGCTCCCTTCCTGGAACTCTGTTTTCCATCTGGCCTCTGTGCTCTCATGACTCTGGGCTCTGTGTGGGTTTGTCTTCCAATGCTCCTGTACACACATGCTCTCCCCTGCAATGAACTCACCATCCACTAACCCCTCTTCATCTTGTTTGGGGCTTTGTGGCCTGCTCTAAATTGGCCCTGGTGATCAGTGTGGGGTTGTTTCATTTTCTGCATGCTTTAATGAGGTTAGTTTGTTTAAAAGTTTTGTACATTGTTTTCTTTTTTCTGATTATAAAAGCAAAACATACTTATAAAAGTACAAGCAATACAGAAATTGTTCATGAAAACAGCAAAAATCTCCAATGCTACTCTCACTGTTTGATATGTATTCTTTCTATGTGCATGTGTACACACATACTCTTTTCCCCTCAAAAGTATGATTGCTCTGAGTATTATACATGTTTTGTGCACACTGTTCTACAATGTGCTTCTCTTTAATAATAGCCTACAGGCTTTTTTTTTTTTTTTTGTCCCAATGTGTATATACTCTGCTTGTTTTATTTACTTATTTTTTAATCCTCACTTGAGGATAACATCCATTGATTTCAAAGAGAGAGAGGAGAGAGAGAGAGAGAGGCGGGGGTTGGGGGAGAATAAGAGAGAAAAACATCGACATGTGAGAGAGAAACATCTATCAGTTACCTCCCTTACATATGCACCCTGACTGGGGATGAACCAGCAACCCAGGTATGTGCCCTGACTGGGAACTGAACCTGTGACCTAACAATGCAAAGGATGATGCTCCAACCAACTGAGCCACTCGGCCAGGGCAACTCTGCTTGTTTTAGTAGTCCTAGAGGATTCCATTTTACTGATGCCTTTTTGTTTATCATTTCCATAGTGATAAAAGTTTTATTTTATTTTGTTGTTCCTTAGAAAGAATTTGCTTTAATAAATATCTTTGTACAGGTATCTTATTTGTGTACTTATTGCTATAGGCTACGTTTCCCGCAATGGCATGCCAGATTGGAGGGTACAAACACCTAAGGTTTTCATGAACATTTTGTCTTGAAAATATCACACCAAAAGTAAATGAGGGTTCTTATTTCCTCACACTGTCAAAAAAACACTGGAGTTTATCAAAGTTTTTAACCCTTGACAATTTAGGATGAAACCTGTCTCTTTGTTGTTTTAATTTGTATTTATTTAATTATTAAAGACTGGGCATTTCTAAGTGTTTATTGGCTATCGATATTTCTCTCACTGACAGGGAGACACTTGTTAAAGTCCCTTAGCTATGGTCTTTATTGATTCGTTGGAATTCTTTATGCAGACCTTTGTCATGTATGGTAATTATTTTCCTGCCTGATTCTTACCTTTTAAATTTATTTTTTCTAAACAGAAATATATTTATGTTGTTGACTCTGTTAATTTTTGTCTATATGTTTTTGATTATTGTAACATAAGAAAGGACTCCTCTACCTTAAGAGTATGCCTATATGCACACACATTTTCCTATAGTCTATCCTAACAAACATTATTATTGCTAATTTTAGTATAAAGTTTGAGGCTGGACCGTTTCATGCAATGCTATTGCTGATGCTGCAGAGCGTGAGAGCTGGCCAGTTGCTGGGGCTCCTTGTCCTTCCCCACCTGAGGACCGGTGTGAATGGGTAAAAGAAATTAGTTAAGGGCTCGGGGGTACAGTAAATTCTCTTTGGGTACTCATTTTTAGAAGTCCACAATATAAGCTAGTAAGAAGTAAAACTTGCTTTATTTACTTCCTTAAATTAGCAATATCATTCTGCTCTTAATAGTAATTCTGCCATAACGATAAATTACCACCCTCCCCCTAGCCACCATTTTCTCACTATTCTGAAAACTTTCAGGTCTCATTTAACTCTTTATCCCCCACCTTTCAGATTTAATTTTTGGTATCAGGCTGTCTCCACTAAGAAGTGCTTGATTTTCTTTGTCTCCTTTTTTTTTTTTTTTTTAATAAATTTTTCTCCCTGGCCCCTGTTGACATCAATTAAGCCCTGGTACACAGGGGAGAAGTTAACTTGAACATTTGCTCTTGTCTTTTGTGAAATAATTTAATACACAAACTCTTGAATGCGCTGCGCTGTACAGACCGCAGTGGGGAATCCACTGTTGGTGCCATTACGGACTAACTAGAGATGACGTCCGCTGTGGCCTTCCAGGAGGACATCGACATCTAGGAAAGCTGACTAGCTGTACATATTATGATCTTGCACTGATAATGTAAATACCCTTAGAAGACGTTATGTTTGAATTTCTCTTGTTAGAGGAAAGCCATTCTGGATACAGCGAACAAGTCTTTAAAGGTTTTTTGTTGTTGTTGTTCGTTTGTTTTTGACAAACAGCAGGTAGGCAATAAATTCTAATGTAAAATCTCAACATATAAAAGTACAAAGAAAAATCATCCTTTCAAACCACACCACTATGGCATGCAGTTGCTTGTGGATAAAGGAAAATAATCTTAACACTCAATTTATTTATATGCAGGGTTAAAACATGGAATTGACTTTATAAGCAGGTTGCCTGCAGGCTGTGAAAATAGTGGAAGACGCTAGATAGGGAAGTTAAAGGAAGGGACTCCCTGATTTTCTGGAAAAAAGGTTGGGATACCTTATTCCTAGAGAAAACCATCTGTCATTAGAGGTTAAATTTAGAAAAAGTAGGTTAAATGAGGTCACTAAACATCACTAAGGAAGAAAAAAAATAAAAGCATATGATTACTTCTTTCAGCATTCTTCTCAGAAATATTCAGGCTAAAACTCGTTATCATTTTTCCATTTCCATTATGAAATGCCTTTCCTGGGATCTGAATTATGGTAAAAATAACTTTGCAGTTGGTTTGGAAAACAGAAATAGGTCTTCTTTTCTGACCTTTGGATATATTGAAGTTTCTAAGGTTAATATAACAAGGCATTGAAAAGAAAACTCAGATGTCTTTTAATAGAAAGATTGACCTCCTAAGTCCTGCACTGTCTACATATGTATTTCTGATATCTTTCGCACTGTAAATATGAAAGAAAAATCAAACCGTAATTATGTCAGTACTTTGAATGACATTTTCCAACTATTTGGACACAATTATTAAAGACAACTGCTTGGAGATAAAGACCAATTTAACAACTTTTGATAGTGAAATTCAAAAGTTTTTCATAAGCAAAATCACATTGTGGGCAAATAACCTGGCAGTAATGTCTGGTCATCAGCTACTGTGTCGAACAGGCAATGGCTAGGAAGTCCTTCAAGCATTTGGTAAAGCAAGAACCCTCAAGGCATGAAAATGGCTGAACAAAAGAGAGGGTAACTGTACGCACGCGCGCAATTATAAGGCTTGGCTTCAGGTACATTAACATAATCTGGTAAAAGACTCTCCCATTCATTGTCAGTACATTTATGGAGAGCAGCATCGCCCAGGAATCACGGACAACAATGCAGGGGCCGAGTGCTGACTCTGACATGCACTAGCTCTGTGACTTTAGGTGACTTACCTAATCTCTCTGTGCCTCACCTCAGTGTTCTCATCTTAAAATAGGGAAACATGATACCTATTCATAGAGTTGACATGAGGATTAACATAGTTAATATTTATAAAGTACCTAACATGGATCCTGGCACATAGTCAGCGCTATGGAAGTATCCATTAAATAGAATAAATTACCAACCAAACACTTTTGAAACACTGTGCCTTAAGAATTCGTATTTTGTTTAGAATGTATATGCCTAGTTCAAAATGTTCACACAAGAAACCCCCAAAACATGCAGCTTGCAAGCAATTCTTTTATACTGAGGGACTAAAATGTATTCCCTCTCTCTTAACACAGTCAGCTAGCTATGTCTACATGTTTATAAAATACAGCTATTCTGATGTACTTTGTGTTTTCAATGTTTGATATTTTTGTTTGTTTGAAACAGTATCTAAACACACATCTTTCATTTGAGAGTCGGGGTGGACTTTAAAATTCAAGTTATATTAAAATTCTATCCTTTGAATTTAAGACCTAAAAGTGGGTTTGTGGCTGTTAAATTGGTTCTTTCAGCATAACTATATCGACTAAAAAGAACTATGTCAGCAAGTGGCAGCTTTAATTACCAGTTTGTTCAGCCACTACCCCTTAGCTTGGCAGTTTTACTATTTATAAAAATGAAAGTTTTAGATGTGGTGCAATACAGCCCCCCAGGGCAACAGGAAAGTACAGAGGGAGAGAGGGAGGGGGCCGCAGGGTCATGCCGCAGCTGTCTTCTGTGGGATTGGAAATCAAGGCATGATTCTTGCATGGGAGACTATCTTAGCAGAAGGGCTGGGGCAGCCGGGGGCAGCTGGGGCAGCCGGGGGCAGCTGGGGGCAGCTGGGGTGGGTGGAGAAGCTGGGGAAGAGCCTCTCAGAAGGTAGAAAAGAATATGAAGTCAAGACTTTCTTTGTCTCTTACTTGTGTATTTCAACCTATAGGGTCAAATACCCAGATAACTAGAAATTCAAAAGTATGACAAAAATGCAACATAAAACCTCTACTTAAAACATCATAAACTGTAGAACAAGTAGTTTAGCTTTATTTTTCCTTCCTTCCTTCCTTCCTTCCTTCCTTCCTTCCTTCCTTCCTTCCCTCCCTCCCTCCCTCCCTCCCTCCCTCCCTCCCTCCCTCCCTCCCTCCCTCCCTCCCTCCCTCCCTCCCTCCCTCCCTCCCTCCCTCCCTTCTTTCTTTCTTTCTTTCTTTCTTTCTTTCTTTCTTTCTTTCTTTCTTTATTTCTTTCTTTCTTTCTTTCTTTCTTTCTTTCTTTTTTTCAGTGTGAGGAGACCTAACACTTGCCTGTGAAGGCAGGGTCTCAGTCCCTGCTGGCCATGCTTGTCGCCCCAGTGGCTCAATGGCCATTGCTTGAATCAATTCACTAATGTGATGTATTTCCTTATTATATTCTCCTATGAATGATATTGCTGGAATTAACGTGGCTCTAAAAGTCAAGGCATCATTTAGTAATGGTATTTTTTTTCAAGTGATTTTGAAGATTTTAATTTTTTTTTAAATTAAGAAAATTTTTAATTTTAAGAAGAATTTTTACAATGTATCAACCCAACAGCTGTGGCTCGGATTCTCTCACTTTTAATTTCAATATGATAAAGTCAGAGAGTGCCATCCTATAAAACGGAAACAACATGATGCCATTTTTCAAATCAAATGCTTTGCATTTATATACTTTTTGAGAATCTGATGATTTACTTTTTTAAATTTTTGGGGGTGACATTGGTAAATAAGATTATATATGTTTCAGGTGTACAAGTCTGTAACACATCATCTGTGCACTGTATTGTGAGTTCGCCACCCCAAGTCAAGGCTCCTTCCATCACCTTTGTACCCGCTTTACCCTCTTCTACTTCTCCCCACCCCCTTCCCCTCTGGCAGTCACCATACCATTGTCTGTGTCTATGATTTTTTTTCCCTTAATCCCGTCCCCTTTTTCACTCATCCCCTCAGCTCCCCTCCCCTCTGACAGCTGTCACTCTGTTCTCTGTATCTGTGGGTCTGTTTCTGTTTTATTAGTGTATTCTGTTCATTAGATTCCATAACAAACCCAATTTCACTGAACAAGAGAAAGGATTAAAATGAGACTGATATTCATATTAGGAGCGTCTTTGATCCAGCAACTTTTTATTTTCTCCCTTTTTATTCTTCCCCCACCACACCCTACTCCCTCCCTCCTTCCTGCTTTATCAGCAATATAACAATTATAATCAAGTCTCTGCCCTCATGGAGCAGACATTTTAATGGGAAGAGAAAGACAATAAACATGCAAACAGTTAAATGATATGATTTCAGTTAGTGATACATGGGAAAATAAAATGAATACTGGGATAGTGACTGGGTGGGGGGTGGGGATAGGGAGCACCTTTGATTATAAATGTCAAGGAAGATTAAGCTCTGTATAAAGAGAAGGGAACAACCATGTAAGAATCTGGGAGAAAGAACATTACACATAGTGGGAGCTTGTACAAAGAAATTGGTAAGCTCTGATTTCTGTGCTTCAAATTTTATCTTCCATATTAAATTCTTTTTCTCTGCAAACTCAGCCCAATTTTCTAACAACACAGGATATAACAGCTTTCTTTCAACTTCACTGTCTAGCACAGGGCCTGACATAGAATAGGGGTTTAACAAAAGAGCAATGGCTATGTGTGACCTTTGTCAAGCTCTAAACTATCAGTTTCAGCCACCTTATGAGCTGAAAGACAAATATAAGCTTCTAGAAATCACAGAAAAGAGCTACCAGAAACAAAATGGGAGGGTTGTTATTAATGCTGCTTAGATAATCTTTCACTTTTCACGTAACTTTGGCCTTGCCAACTTGGCAACTTACCATGCCCTGTATACTCAAAAGAATCTGCTTCATCAGGGGTATCCAGTTCATCCACGTTGATATCAATTTCATCTGGACTGTCCAGGTTATCATCAGAGAGGACAGACCCTTCACTTTGGTCCAGAGAAAGATTGATATTTGGGGCAGTGAGCTTGATTCTCTGAGGATGAGCGCCGTTAAGATCCAGGGAATGAGGAGGTTCTAAGGAAGAAAAAACATCAAGTATTAGATCATGTACATGCCTGCCCAGAATGGGTGTGTGCCCCACTGGAAAAAATTTTTCAAAGCCCTTTCAGCAAAGACAGACCCGCTGCAAAATGTTTCTATGGGATTTGGACCCCCTTCTTGACCAGCAGGTCTCAGCCCCAACAGCCCTGGCCATGTAGAGACAGGAAGTGGGAACCCTTGCTAAATAGGTGGGAAACTAGTTTTTAGAACTGTCTTATGTAGGTTTGAGAACTTGAAACTCAGGTAATATTGAATTGAATACTTATGGTGCATATTGTGTTAAGGGAAACAGTTAAGCTTCCATATTATCTGATAAGGGTTCATGTAGACTTTACTTCTATGGAATGGAGGGTAAGAACTTTATCTGTTATGTTCACAGATACTCCCAAAATACTTTTCTTCAGTTTCTGACAACTCTGTGTAAATGTGCAATGGCCTTACTTTGGCTGTCATTATTTATTTATTTTTAATAAAATTGAGGTATCCTCCCTGATCACATTTTTTTTGATCAAGCAGTCATTACATCTTATGCAATATTGTTTGTCATTGGTTCCCATAAGTGGCAGTCTTATACTAAAGCTCATAGAGTAGCTCCTACACTTCAATTGTAATATGGGTCTTGCCACTAATGTGCCACTCACTTAACAGAAGAGCTAAGGAAGTAATTTTTAATCAAGTTGATCCCAACTAAACACTTCTAACAATAGAAATATCAGGATTCTCTATCACAAAGTAGTTTGAAGGCCATCTGGTATACCTTTCAATTCTGGAATTCAAATCTGGTCTCCTAAGGAAGTTGACACCGTTTCTTTGCCATTAAGATATTCTGTATAGAATGTCATCCTAACTGCTTCTTGTAACATGTTTCCATGTAGTACTTGAAAAAAGTTTCTAGTGACCAATAAGTTTGAAAAACAATGGATTTCTATAGTACAAAAATTCTCAGAGGGGTAGTATCCAGAATAAAATTTTGAAAGGATAGAAATGTTAAGGAATTGAAATAAAGCTAGTGCAACTGAAGAATTTAACTTTTCAAATTTATTTTAAATGTTAATTAATTTAAATAGCCACATGTGGCTAATTACCGCCATAAAAGGTAACTATAACGTTAGTGCCTTTATTATTCTAAAGTGCATGATGAACCTTGAAAAGTGGAATGGACATACAGTGGCTATCATTCTTACTTGGCCATAGAACATTTAAAAATAATTGTCACATGACTAGTGTTTTAAAGAATACACTTAAATACTTAGACAAAAAACCAAAATTGACTCCCATTTTAGGCTTGGCTGATGAGGTCAGGATTCAAGATGTTGGTGTGGTCCTGAAGCTAGGCAATGCAAAGAAGTGTCCTTGGTACAAAACAGAAGAAATGTAGATTGCAAAAGAAAATTTAAATTTTTTGGGGGGGCGGATATGCCTTGCGCTGTAAACCCTTAGAGTATAAGGGTCTTTCTTTTCTTTCTTTCTTTCTTTTTCTTTTTTCTTTTCTTTCTTTCTTTCTTTCTTTCTTTCTTTCTTTCTTTCTTTCTTTCTTTCTTTCTTTCTTTCTTTCTTTCTTTCTCTCTCTCTCTCTCTCTCCCTCCCTCCCTCCCTTCCTTTCTTTCTTTCTTTCTTTCTCTCCCTCCCTCCCTCCCTCCCTCCCTTCCTTTCTTTCTTTCTTTCTATAACCAGGTTACTGAGCCTTCTCGATACCACATTTCTAATTTTAAACATTCTCACACTTAAGTTTAAACCGGGTGAACTTTGATGTTAGTTAAAATTTGGTATTATGATAAACAGTAGCCAATTATCACAGGAACTAAAAACATTGGCAAATAAGGCCATGGCCAGGATATAAAAGGCAACCCACACTAGTGAGCATCAATATTCAAGTCAACTCTGAAATTAACCAAATTGAGCCTAACACCTTCTTAACACATATTTCTTCCCTGTCTTCACAAGTTGGATGCATAGGAAATGATTCTCTCGCTGAATAATGAAAATGTTTGGATACAGAACACTGCTGAAGGAAATGAACAAACGCCCCGCTCACCAGGCCTCATGTCTGCAGCACCGGGACTCAGCATCCCCTCCTCAAAGGGGATGTCCATTCCCACATCCTCTGACACGAGTCTGAAAGAGAGCAGAGCAGAGCATGTACAAAGCTGTGCGGCGTTTAACTGTCTTTGAAAAGGAAACCTGGAGATTCCAGGATAGCATTTTTAATTCACTTGGAATAAACCAAGTATGTGTACTGAATCCATTTTAAGTGCCTGCAAATTAGAATACAGACTTTCTCTATTGCTGTGAATGAGAACCATAGACCCCAGCGTTACTCTGGGCGTATAACACGTTACTCCTCCTGCCAGATCACATAAGCAAACATACCCCAAGTAAAAAAAAAAAAAAAAAAACAACAACCCAGAAACAGGAAAAGCAAACAGTAAGAAAATATACTTAAGGGGGTACACACACACACGCATTTAGCAAGAAAGCAGTATACATATGTGCTTTGGACTAAAGACAGACCTGACTATGTATATATTTCCTCCTCTGTGTAAATTTGAGCAAATTCCATAAACGGCTGTGAGCAAAGTATATTCTACTGGTCTTACATTCTTTATTTGTAAAATTGGGGTATACCACATACCTCACTGAGTTTTTGAAAGATTAAGCAATGACTGTAAAGTGCCTACCATTTTTGAGAAGGTACCAACTAATGCATTTTCCTTAATTCTTTAAAAATTTAAAAATCCTTTGTGAATTACAAATTGGTGAAGATGATGGAAGTCGTGAGTTACCATCTCTTCTTTCTAACCAATGCTGAGCCCAGGACCATTTATATTAGCCCATACGACAAGGATAGGGGAATAGAAAAATCCTGAGGAAAACTGTGACAAATTTATATGCTCTTATAGGAGACTGACCACTGGTCACAGGGTGTTCCCCTTGACTTATTTTCATCTCTCACCCCTTGTTCAGTAAATCCCCATTTATCATGAGAATATATTTTTCTTCTTGCTGGCTTCCACATAATTTCACTCATCTAGGGTGAATCCTTGTGATGTAGGCATTAATCTAAATTCAAACAGGATAAACCTTAGTGGTAAAGTTCTAAGTTTCGTCCCTCCCTTTCTCTCTTATTGCAACTTCTCTCCACTTTAATCTGGGTCTGCAAAACACTTAGAGTTTGCTTATGTAGATGATCAAATTCTCCAGAACCCAAGTCAAAACCCTTATTGTCAATAACGCGATAACGAAACAAAATTCTACATTTCTAGTGATAACTGTACTTCTTCATTTATTCAACAAGTATGTATTGATTGTCTACTATGAACGGAGGGTATAGAGGAAAAAAAGAGACCAGTCTCATTCTTGTGGTGGAGGTGGAACGATACTGATGGCGGTAGTGATGACTATTGCCGATGACTTAATGCTTCTCTCCTGAGATCAGTAAATGCCTGTGTTCTTACCCATCAACTCCACAAGCCCCTTCAAAAGCACAGCCTCAACGAGTTTCTTTCTCAGTACATTTGCTGTGGTTTCTACCCTGTATGTTCTCTAAAATGAGTTCTGCACTCTAACGGGAAAAACGGTGAGCAAGGGGTTGGTGTGTGAGTCAAAGGCGATCATATACTGGCAGGAACAAGGTAATCTGTGCCAAACACAGACACATCACACAGGGTGGCGGCAAACCAAATTGTCCATTGGGAGAGGTGGGACTGGTGAGCACAAAAACAAACAAACAAACAACACCCTGAGGTAGGCCCCAGTTCTGAAAGTCCTGGGACCCAAAGGTATGGATGTCTGGGTTGCCCATGCTGCTGCAGTTTTTCAGATTTCTTTACAGTGATCTCTTGTCATCTGACATTTTCTGTGTGCGTTTTCCTTGATATTGACAGGTACCCTGCGGTACCTGTAAAGTGGCAAAATGCTGCTGCTAAGAGCTAATGGATTCAAATCTTAGTTCTATCCCTCGAATGGCAAGTTATTCAGTTTCCTCACCAAGAAGAGGAAGAATGTGCAATGCCTGAAGATGCCACTGAGAGAAAAAAAATGTTATCTGTTACTACTGTAGTTCCTTTTGCCACCTCCATTAATTAATTGCCTTCTCCATTAGCCTTGAAACTTCATTAGGACAAGAACTGCGTCTGTCCTCTTTACCATTATGTCTCCAGAACCTGGTAGATACAAATCCCTGATAAAATATGTGTTGAACTGAATTATCAAGGTTGAAATATCTGAAATGCACATATACATTATTTTCTCTAGTCCTCTGCCTACGAACCAACCTAAAAAAAAAAGATATCATATCACTACCTACCTGACAGAGCACATAAGGGTACTGGCCTTAACTCCAAAGTAAATATAAAGGGTTTTTAAATAGATAGATAGTATCAGTTTGAAATTTTTGTAGGTTTTTGTTAATCTTTGTAAGTTATGGGCAACATAATGGAATGATTGAAAGAGTTCTAGATGTGAGATTATAGTTCTGGGTTATAGTTCCACTGTTAGTACAGACAACCTGATTAACCCTGAGAAAATTAGCTGGCCATCTTTATGATTTTAAATAGAAATAATAAACACCTAAAGTCACAGTGACTGGAGAATATAATACATATGAAAGTACTCCGTAAATAACAAAGCACTGAGTAAGTTTAAGGTATTACTTTCTCTCATTTTTAACATAATAGCAGGATTAGTGATTTAACTGAAATATGTGTTACAGTTGACAAAACATAACTAAGGTTACTATAATTTGGGTAGTAATCCAGGTAAGGAAAAATTTCAGTGCCCATACAAATCTCCACAGAGCCTGCAAGTGACACTGAACATTCGTGAATACAGTCTTTGTCTCTCAATGCTCCTTTGCAACACAGAGCAGAGACCCTGTCAAGAAGGTGCTAGAAATCCAGAGGAGGTGTGAATGAGGGAAGGTAAAAATCCAAGGCTTAAGCAGGGGGCATCAGAACAGACATATTCTCATAAATGCATGGATACTGCAGAAGGCCATGGGGACATTTTAAGAAACCCCAGGGACAGAGAGGGAAAGCTGAACCAGGTTGCATGGATTGTAAATACTTCAACCACCTCCATACATCAGGGCCATAAATATTTGTAGAAATGAAGTGGTCAAACAGTCCTTGGTGATTGAACAAGATGGAGTTTTACGATTGGTAATGGAAGCCTCTTGGGATCCATTAGGTAACAAATCAGTGTGGCATGAAGGGATGTATTTCCTTAGCGATCCATAGCAACTACTTAATTTGGGGTTTTCTGTGTACAAAATGGTGCTACCAAAGAGACTGAGGGAGTTGTAAACACGAGAGTGACTACTGCAGCTGACTTCCCAAGCAGATGCTCAGCTCCATGTCTCCATCTAGAGGACAGGTCCAGAACTGTTGTTTACAGTGGTTTATAATCTTTAGAAACCAAGTATTTCATCAACTATTTCTGGATTGCGGCCTTTGGGGTAGATGGTAAGACTGTACTTTCCTGCTCTCCTGTGAAAATGCAGTGGCTACGTGACTTGCTTTGACAAATGAAATGAGAGTAGGAGTGGCAGGTATCACTGCTGGTCAGAAAAATTAGGAGCAAGTGCCTTGGTGGCCACAGAGGGGCTCTGGCCTGCTGTGTCAGAGGTACAGAGAGGAGCTGAGATCTGGACTAAAAATCGTCGGATAGGTGAACAAGAAAAAAAAATTTACTGTGTTTTCTCCTGAGAGACTGGGTTTCTTTGTTATCATATCTTTTTTTTTAACTTTTATTTTTAAATTATATTTTATTGATTATGCTATTACAGTTGCCCTGATTCTTCACCCGCTTGCTTCCTTCCACCCAGTGCCCTTCACTCCCTCAGGCAATCTCCCCACCATTTTTCATGTCTATAGGTCATGTGTGTAAGTTCTTGGGCTACTCCAGTTCCTATATTGTACTTTACATCTCCATGATAATTCTGCAACTACCAATTTGTACTTTTTTAAAAAATGATTTTATTTGTTTATTTTTAGAGAGGGGAAGGGAGGGAGAAGGAAAGAGGGAGAAACATCAATGTGTGGTTGCCTCTTGCGCACCTTCCCACTTGGGACCTGGCCCGCAACCCAGGCATGAGCTTTAGACTGGGAATAGAACCGGTGACCCTTTGATTTGCAGGCTGGCACACAATCCACTGACCCACACCAGCCAGGGCTCAATTTGTACTTTTTAATGCCCTCACCTCTTCACCCATTCCCTCACACACCTCTCCTATCAGGCAACCGTCAAAATGCTCTCTGTATCGACGATTCTGTCTCTGTTCTTCTTATCTGCTTTGTTTTTTAGGTTCAGTTGTTGATAGAAGTGTATTTTTTGCCATTTTACTGTTAATAGTTTTGATCTTTTTTTTAAAATAAGTTTCTTTAAAATTTCATATAATAAGGGCTTGGTGATGATGAACTCTTTAGTTCTCTCTTGTCTGGGAAGCTCTTTTTCTACCCTTTGATTCTAAATGAGAGCTTTGCTGGGTAGAGCAGTCTTGGCTGTGGGTGTCTGCTTTTCATGACTTTGAATATTTCTTGTGAATCCCTTCTAGGCTGCAAAGTTTCTTTTGAGAAATCAGCTGATAGTCTTATGGGAACCCCTCTGTAGGTAACTTCTTTTCTCTTGCTGCGTTTCAGATTCTCTCTTTATCTTTAACCTTTGGCGTTTTAATTATGATGTGTCTCCAAGAAGGCCTCTTCGTATCCACCTTGTATGGGATTCTTTGTACTTCCTGGACTTGCATGTCCATTTCCTTCACCAAATTAAGGAAATTTTCTTTTGTTATTTTTTTCAAATATATTCCCAATTTCTCGCTCTTTCTCTTCTCCTTCTAGCACCCCTAGGATGAGAATGTTGGACTTCTGGAAGTTGTCCCACTGGCTGCTTACACTATCCTCATTTTTTTGGATTCTTTTTTCTTTTTATTGTTCTGATTGGTTGTTTTTTGGTTCCTTATGTTCCAAATCACTGAATTGATTCTTGGCTTCATCCACTCTACTGTTGTTTTCCTGTAAATTGTCCTTTATTTCAATTAGTTTATCCTTTGTTTCTGACAGGGTCTTTTTTATGATGCTGAGGTCCTCACTAAGCTCCTTGAGCACCCTTATAACCAG